TTTCTTCACTCTCTCCCAGTCCCTCCCTCCCATCTGCGTCCCCAAGTTGTACAGTTCACTTCCATCTGTGTCCATTAAGCCCTACTGCTGCACTTTTTCACCTGTTTTTCCTCGAGTTCTGTACCCTTCTCCCCATCCTCTTGAAGATGTAAACGTGAATACACCATACATTAAGAAGATAGAAGCATCAAGGTATAAAAAATTTTAGGGCTGGGAAAGTGACTCAGTGGTAAGAGTGCTTGCCTCGCATGCATGAGGCCCTGGGTTCAATTCCTCAGCACCACATAAGCAGAAAAAAGCTGGAAATGGTGCTGTGGCTCAAGGGCACTAGCCTTGAGCTAAAGAGCTGAGGGACAGTGTTCAGGCCTAGAGTTTAAGTCCCCATGACTGACAAACAAACGTACAAAAATATAAAAAAAAAATTTAGAAAGGAGCAGTCTTATTTCCGTATCTTGGAGTTCATTTTGATATATACATATTATATTATATAAATGTGAAGAGGCACATAGGCATTGGCGTCTTTTTGTTTCTCTCCTAAGAGTATCCTTTTTAAGTCTCAAAAGAGTATGTGGGTATTTAGAATCCTGTATCAATTTATGCTTATGACTCCTAACTCTAAATCCCATTACTTCATGTCTTTGACAAATGAGAACCTCATAGGATTATTATTGTAAAAATGACACATGATGGGCTGGGAAGGCACACACACACACACACACACACACACACACACACACACACACCCCTGGGCTGGGAAGGCACACACACACACACACACACACACACACACACACACACACACACACACACACACACACACACACACACACACACACACACACACACACACACACACACACACACCTAAATGACAGAAGATAATTATTGTTGTAACAACTACATGAGACTATCTGTGTATGTGGAAGGTAGAGGTGTCTGGGAAGGAGTTCTATATTCTAACTGCATGGGGAATGTGGGTTTGCAGTCATCTAAAAGCAGACAGCACATAGTTGGCTTCCTGTGGTACCTCACTACACAGTGGGCTCAACAATACTCGGTGTGCAAGAATTTCAAGCACTGATCCTTGCAGCAGAGAGCAGCACTCCATTGGCAGAAAAAGGAGTGACTATATTGTCCTATTTTCTAGGGCAGCATACCCAGACTGGATGGCTTTTAACGATAAAATGTGCATTCTCAACATGCTAGAGACTAGCAGTTCAGAATCAAGGTTTTCATAGGTTTGCTTCTGAGATCTTTGTCCTTGTTTGCGGATGACTGTCTTCTTCGGGTATCCTGATAAAGTCCTCCCTCCATGTGTATGCATGCCAGTTAGTATGCATGCCAAACTTCCCCTTCTTGGAAGGGTACCAGTTCTGCTGGATTGGCGCCCATTCGTAAGACCTCAGTTTACCATCACTACCTTATTTGAAGGTCTGATTTTTAAATATAGTCCCATTCTAAGGTAGGAGAGTTAGGACTTCAACATGGGAGCTTTTAGAAGCCACAATTCCACTAACAACATATGTAGAAACATACTCATTTTCCTTTTAGAAAACAATTAAATTTGCAAGATAACACATCTAGAAAAGATATTAGGAGTTATTGGCTTCTCTGTAACAACTATCCAGCATTATGATGAGTGGGAAAATCTGAGCAGAAAGGAAAGAAAGCTTTACAGTGGATCTTGTCTAAGGGTGGGGGGGGGGGGGGGGAGAAAAAGCCCACAGTGACAGTGAATTAATGAGCTGGCCCTATTCAGACACATGACAGATGGGCACAGGATCCAAGTACAAAGATAACAGGGTACAGAATATCTGATTAATTTGGCCAGGGCTGATGAAGGGATTGAGGCATAACTGGAGTGGAACGGAGCCAGATGGACTTCCTTGGGCTGCTAAGAGGTCAGTAGCTGGAGAGATGGTCCCCCAAAACCTAGCTCAAGCTACCTCTCTTTCTGAGGCCCCAAACCAAGAGGACTTACTCATGCCTAGAGGGACATATCCAAATGTCAGTCCCTTCATGTCAGGCCTGTACTTCTCTTATAATAGCTTGCACTGGTGAACCTTAGCAGCTGGACTTCTGGAATGATACGAGAGCTGCCCTTTCCCCTTCACACCACCTACTGTTCAACGTGGAGGACTCGGCATGCTCCTGTTTCTGAAACTTTGAAATTCTGCACTACCCGATTCTTCACTTGCTCCCTAATGATAGGATTTCAAAGTCTATCCTTCATCTGACTATCCTAATTTGGGCAAAATAAGTTTAGAAAATGCACTAAGGAAACCACTCTCATATGCAGAATGCAACTTGGGATACACAGGAAAAATAACCCCTTACCATCATTCAGTAGATGTTTCTAGATGTTTCACTGATGGTCCCTTCCTATTTTTGCCGAGTAATGGCAATCAAGATAGTTGCTATTACTAAGCACTTGTGTGAATTTTAAGTATATAACAAATTACCCACAAGGTTAGCAACTTAACACATGACACTTTTACCTCAGATGGTTTCCAAGGATCAGGAATCCAGGAGCAACTTGGTGGTTCCACCTTAGTCTCTCATGAAGTTGCAGTGAACTTGTTGGCTTCAACTGTGGGCCTGGAAGGACTGCTCCTCGACTCCATGAGATGGCTGTCTGTGGGGGCTTAGCTCCTCACTAAGGGCACTGTCCATCTACCATTTGGCTTCCCTTTCCTTCTTTATTACCTAATCTGGGGAATAATGTAGTACTAATGGTGCTGTTGATCCTGTTGTTCACCAGTGGACACTGGTATAGGTGGGGGAATCGCCACTCAAATGCTCTCAGACGCAGATCAAACAAGTACTTGCGCCATGCTACTCTTCCTTTATTAGTACTAGCTAAGGGTTTTCCAGGCACCACCACACTGAATGACATCAGCATCTTCCCAAGGAGGTGCTACAACCATTTGCTTGTTTTATACATAGGGCAAAGTCTGCAAGAAAGCTAAGTAATTTGCCAGAATTGTTGTTCAGTTAAAGGACAGAGCAGATACATAATGCAGGTGTAATGTCAGAGCCTAGTGCAAGTGTTCCTGCTTTCTAATGTAAGATTTCTCTTCATTGGATGGCTAACCCATCTCAGCCTCCTGAGGAGCTAGGATTAAAGCTGTGAGCCATGGTGCCCAGCTGAGGAGCGTGTGTGTGTGTGTGTGTGTGTGTGTGTGTGTATGTGTGTGTGTGTGTGTGACAGAGACAGAGATAGACAGAGATGAGAGAGAGAGAGAGAGAGAGAGAGAGAGAGAGAGAGAGAATGCACATATTTGTGTGTTGGTTTTGGATCTTAAACTCAGGGCCTGGAGACGGTTCCTGAGCTTTTGTGCGCAAGGCTAGCACTCTTCCACCTGAGCCATAGAACCACTTCCAACTTTTCTGGTGGCTAATCAGAGTTAAGAGTCTTATGGATTTTTCTGCCTGGCTGGCTTCGAGCCTCAATCTCAGCTTCCTGAGTAGCTAGGATTACAGGCCTGAGCCACCGGTGCCTGGCCAGCGTAGTCTGATATTGCTTTTATTTTTTGACTACAAGAATTCTCACTTGGGGGTAGGTGGGGAGGGAGGAGGTGGGGAGGGAAGGGATAGCAGGGGAAAAACAGAGGGGGAGGAAACAATGCTTGATAGGAAATGTACTCATAACCCCTCTGTACAGTATCTTTCCAATAAAAAAATTAAGAAAAAAGAATTCTCAACCCACAGATGTTGACAAGTTTCCTGTTTGCAGCAAATTTTTAGTTAATTTGGTTGTGATGGTGTTAAAGTACATATTTTAGTATAATGAAAGAGAGAATGCAAATTGGTCTGTAAGAGTGAGTCTCTGGTACTAACCATTGTCAGGTTCTTTTTCCACATCCTTCCTAGTGGAGTGACTGTAATCTGGTTTATAGTAGACCTAGATAAATCAGGCTCTTCTTGATGGGCCCGGGGACTCCTTTCTCTCCTAATTGCCTCTAATGTGTGTGTGTGTGTGTGTGTGTATGTGTGTGTGCATGCATGTGTGTGTGCGCGCATGCTGTGGTAGGGGCAGTCTCACTGTACAGAAAACAACTGTGCTTATTGTTTGTGAAGGATGGGTTCCTATAGCAAACAAAATAACGCAGTCTTGGAATCGTCATGTCGAAAAACGAACTTTACAACTTTGGTGAGGGTGGGGGGGGTGGGGGGGGGCCGGGGGAGGGGGGGAGATGGGAAGGGATGGGAAGGAGGAGGCAACAATGCTTGATAAGAAATGTACTCATTATCTTGCCCATGTAATTGTAACGCCTCTGTACGGTATTTTTACAATTAAAAAAAAAAAAAAAAGAATGCAGTCTTGGGATGAGAAGGCAGAGGGGGCCACTCAACAGTAACAGAGCTTGGTCCTCAATTTTCATGACTAACAAATCAGTTGTAACTATTGCAAAGAGATGTGCTGTGCCTCTCTTCTGCATCACGCTCTAGACCTAAGGGACAGGGAGCTCGCTCTGTGGTCAGGCACTCTCCTCTGAGACTCCAGTCACACTTCTGTGTTTTGTTTCTTTACCTTAAATGAATGAATAGCATCTTCCTGGGGATGGGAGTGCTCATAAGAAGCAGCTCAGGGGAATGGCGGATGCAGCCTGGGTCTGCAGTGCTCATCTGCATTCTGCCTTCTCTCCAAAGAGAGCACAGCGCTGCTCTATTCCTATCCATGTGACCAACAACAGGAATGGGTGTGTGTCCTCAAGCTTCGACAGCCTACAGGACAACCGTGAGGCCATGTGACCCATCAGTGACTGGAAGACACAGTGACACATTTGAACTTTGTGTTCTATTAAAAGGCTTCATGGAAGGCCCATCCTCTGCCATTTCTGCCATCCGGCTATCCCTTCTGGGAACCTTGCTCTGATTAACAGGCTACTCCTGTGCTCCTTGGTGACAAAATCCATCCACAAGTCTTCAGACAAATCTGTGCCTCATAAGGAATAGATTTCATGACAGCTGTTGGCCGCAGTCAGTATCTTTCACAATGAGAAGAGCAAACATTTATTCAAACAACAAACACAGAGAACTGGGGAGGGCCAGACACTCACTAGTCAGAACATACAGCACACAGGATCAGTATACAGCAGGTTGCAGACATCAGCCTGCTCGTTGTTCCCACGAGTCACCGAATGGTGACAATTTGCAGAGTTTCATTAAAAGCCTATCAGGAAGATAACCACAGATCATGAGATAAAAGAGCCAGGCCAGAATGCCAGAACTGATGTTGGTAGAGCATAGGGAAACAAGGTGTGAGCTGTGGGAGGAGCTTGCTAGGTGCCTGTGGTGGGTGACACAAGTCTCAGCAGACCACTTCATTTACAAGGACTTACAAGGTCTGCAATATTTATATCTAACTCCAAGTCTCATGTGTTTGCTTGCTAGATGGTGACAAGCCAAAATGAGTAAATGCTGAAATCTTGACCCTGAACCCAAGACCTAGGGAAAACCCCCAATTCATTCAACAGCCTGGAGGAACCTGGAAAAGGCAGGAGCAGATGGAGAAACTGCTTGGAGCTCAGCCTAAGAGGGCAGGAATAAGGCTCTGAACAGCCTGCTGCAAACACGCGTCTGTGGTGCTAAGATGCACGGGCACCAGCTACTTCTTCATCTCCAAAACCACGCCACCTGGCCCATGGTTCTTAGCGCTGCAGATGCTGCAGTGCTGGGTTGGAGAGTTCTGAAATGGAATTTAAAACACAGCTTAGAAACGTGTCTTCTCTCTCCTTTTGCAATCGTAATGTTACTGTAGTGCTGGCTAGGAGGGGGACGACTCTGAAGTGGTGAAATGTCTCTCCTCCGGAGGTTATGTTTGGTTCATGCTGCAACTCAAGGACCCCCCCGCCTCCCCCCCCCCCCCCCCCCCCCCACAGCAAGACCAGTGTGTCGTGGCTCAGGACTGTGACCTCATGGTGAAGGACAGCAACAGGAACTAAAATGATTGTTTGCACAGTACTGAGGCTCAGCCTGAGCCTCCAATGTCCCCCGGTTAATCCACTTGATTGGGTATGCTTTTATGCTTTCTACAGCACACTATACATGCTAGCACCTATAGGTCTATGAATTAACTTCTGTCCTGGAATGTGACAGCACTGCCACCCCTGGGTATCTGAAGGAGACTGGTTCCAGGACTCCTCAGAGACACCCCAACCACAGATGCTGAGCCCCTTATAGAAAATGGCGTAACATCCACTAGTCCTCCACACACTTTAAATCACATTTCGGGACTAATGAGGAAAATCATGGTCTGCACATAGCACAGACACAATGTTTCACTCATTGTTCTTTCTGTTCTGGGGTTTCTGAACCAGGACCTCATGCTTCCTAGGCAGGCAGCAGGCAATCTACCAAGTGAACCATGTCTCTAGCCCTTTGCATTTCTCCATATGGGTTATTATGAGGCCGGTTGTCTGGGCTGCCATGGACCACAATTCCATCTCTGCTTTCTGTGTAGCTAGGATCACAGATGAACACCACTAGGCCTACCTTTTTTTTTTTTTTTTGTGATGGGGTCTTACTAACTCTATAATTCTTTGTATCTCTACCTCCTGTCTTCCAAAATGTTTGCTGGATGTCAGCTGAATGCTGACAGCTGGCAGAGAAACCATAGCGTACAATTCTCCAAGGCCAAAGCCATGAGTGAGTGGTGATGGCAGTGCACACCTCTCCCAGACCGCCCCCGCATGTCTCTGATTGGCAGGTGCCAGCAGCCACTCACCATGGTGGGCACAGGCAGGCACTCCCTGTGGAACATGTGTCGGCAGTGGAAGACCACCACGCTGAAAGGCCGGGCCGCATCTGGGAGGGGGATGAGTGGGCAGAAGAAAGGACAGGTCAGTGCAAGCAGAGAATGGAAGGGCCATGCAAACCTGACTAAGTGAAGTCCTGGCTTACAGGGGCAGCCTTTGGGCTGAGGTGACCAGATGCAAAGCAGGCACTGTAATTGTGCTGCATGATCCAGAGGCAGAGGCTCGCTGCTTGGCCTCTGTGCCACTCACCAAAATAAGAAAAGGAGACAGTTTCATGGCAAATGCAGCAGTAGTCATTAGAAAAGAAAAAAATAGAGAAAATACTCATACCCAGTATGTGCGTGATCCTTTGTGCAACCCAACTCAACCTAACCCACACATAACCACTATGCCCTACACTGTGGTTTATAAAAATGGGTCCCAGGCCAGCTGGGGCTGCCAAGCCAGGGTTGGAAGCCCAGGCTAGGAGCCTATATTCTACCACACCCCTATTTGGACAGCACCTCACCCTGCTTCCTGAGCCCAGCTCAGATCTGAGAGGGCTTAGTGCCCTGGGCAGGGAAAGTAAGAAAGTGAGTGAACACATGGTGCTGAGGGACACACAGGGCCCATCTATTAGAACATGACCTAAAACACTATGAGAGCCCACACCTTCCCCTAAAGCAGTGAAAATTCAAACCTGCTTCCTTTAGAAAAGCTAAACGGAATTACTTTTCCTGTCATTAGTAAAGAATCTTGTAATGTCAAGTAAATGCAGGTCAGTGGAGTCTTCTTGTTTTATTTTTGGTGATACTAAGGTTTGAACGCAAGGACTTGCAATTGTTAGGCTTGCTTGCTATGCTGATATGCCATCAATTAAGCCACACAACTAGCATGTGGTTGGTTACTTTGGAGATGGGAGTCTATGGACTATCTGCTCAGGCTGGCTTGGAACTGTGATCCTTCTGATCTCAGCCTTGTGAGTAGTGAGAATTACAGGTGTGAACCAATGGCCTATAGCTCAGCTGAATCGTTAGCACATCTCCATGCCAAGTTTGCATTTAGACAGCATTTTAATATATCAATTATTCTTCAATTTCTAATTATGTAAGTTCCTGTTCTCACATCCTAATGATCCTTAAGTAAGAGGCTTTTTCATTATGCATGACACAAATAAGCAAACAACAGCTTCTATCTTTTAAAGAGTTGTTGTCCAATTAGATATCGAGTTTGGTAGCCCCTTGACATTGGTGGGTATAAAGCTGCATAGAGGCCATCACTGAGGAAAACCGCAGGCACTCAGGACACAGACGCAGTACTCTACCACGGACGTGTAGGCTGTTCTCTTCCCTCATGCTGTCCAGCTCGGCTATGGACATGCTTTCCACCTTTCAACAAATCCCAACAGCTTAGCACTTCAATTAGCAAATCATGTTATTTCTGGCTTGGAGGAGCTATCATCACTTTTCCCTTGGTTTTGGCCACTGTCTGCTTTGTGGGAGACATATTTTCACAAAATCAAAGCCGGAGGGCACCCAGTAGATCAGACATGATGAGACACCCCTGAGAGCAGCACAGGAGTGAAGTGCCTCCATTCTTTACTTTTTTTTTTATGATTATGAGGGAAATCATGTCCATAAGAACTTGGGTGAATAAAGTACAACTCAGTTGTACTTTATTGTTGTATACAGTATGTATGGGAATGTCACATTTTGATCTGAAAAAAAAAAAAATGTGCTATAGATATATTTTTTGACCACTGGTGGTCAAAACCATGAGTAATGAATCCATCAACAGGTGGCTTACACTCTGTCTCCTGAGCTATGCGACCATCTGTGCCCTGTCCCCACACAGCTACGAGACGATTAAGGAAAAGCACCTGTGAGATATCTCCCAGACACATGCACGGCTCTATGGCTCTTCCACCTGGGATGTAAGTGTGGGCAATGTTTGTTCTACTGTGGAACTATCTTTCTCAAAGAATGGCCTCTAAGCCAGCACACTGGCATTGATGGGAGCTTGTGAGGAGGGCGCATTGTCAGGTCCTGCTTGGGCTCAGAGCAGGCCCTGAGTGGAGTCGCCTTGTGGGCTCCCAGGCTCTGCACACTGCACATGGTGGTTTAGCCCGGCACACTGGGGTGCACTGGGATATAAGCAGAGCCTTTTTTGAAGCTGTGTGAAGCAATAGAGTTCCATATATAGGAACTAGCTAATTTCAAAGTCTGAATGGCAGCCATCACTCACATCTGAGAAGTGAGCTTCCTTACCTGTGGGAAGGATGGGGGACAGGCACGATTCACAGATATTCTCCTCTGCAAGAAAACACACGTGCTTGGGATTAAGCAGGGTCAGTGTGGGTTTGGCATCTTCTGAAAGCGGGACACATGGTGCCATGTGAGTTGTTAAACCTTACCTACCATCAACCAGGACGCCTTTCATTTGAGTTCGGTGCATTTTCTTCAACAATGACAAAGAGTCAGCTACAAGAATCTTCTTGCAGCCTTCACGAAGCAGAATCTAATGCACACATTAAAAAAAAAAAGCAATCTTAAATAGACTCAAATACAGTGGGGAGGGGAGTCTGTAGATAAACTGGAAAATTTGCACACTTGAAATACTCCTAGGGGCTCTCTGGGTCCCCTGCCTCAGTATACACTCTTCTGTTTCAACTGTCACCAGACAGATCTCTGAAGGCCTGACTCAGTCATTACTCACTGCAATTTACTTAGGTAGCTTTTATGATCATACAATGTTTCTGTGGTAATTGTAAAATGGAGTACAAATTCTGAAGTCTAGCCAGAGATCTTTGCCCAGGATAGGAAAACTGCCACTCCTAAAACCCCTAAATTATCCACTAATCTCATAAACCCATCTATTTGCCAAACACATATGTTCCAGGTCCACATGGCACAATGCACTGTGTGTGGGTAGGAAACTGAACAGAAAAACACATGACTGTGAGTGGCTGTGCATCTGGGCAGGATTGTGCTTTGGCTGTAGGACCAATTTGCTTGTGCAGGTGTGCATTCACACCCTGGGGAAGGGAAGGGAAAGAGCAGCCAATCTTGGTCATCTAGGGTAGTCATCTATAGCAACTTCATTTCCCTAAAACCCTGAGGGCAGTGGCCTTGGGAGAATCCAGCCAGAACTGTACCACATCCTAATTATATCAAGGCAAACACTTAGGAAATGTAACTGATGTCTACAATACAGTTCTACACTGGCCTTCTCTAGTCCTGACGAGCAAGAGATTACATGATTTGAGAATGCTTGCATTTATTGAGAAATTGCTTTTGACATCTGTTCCTTCTTCTTTCCCTACCTTTTCAATGACACAGTCTCACTATGTAGCCCAAGCTGCCCTGAAACCATATATATGTATATATGTACACACACACACACACACACACACACACACACACACACGAACAATCACCCTGACTAAAACATAGTATTTGCAAGTGCCAAGCATCATGGTGAAATGCCTTTGTTACAACAATTAGCAAGCAAGTGACAATAACAATTTTAAGAACTTGAAACATGTATGGACTGGGGTGGGGGAAGCAATGGGTGGGTGGTAAGAAGGATGGAGGGCAGTACAGTCCTAAGAATCTATACACACATCTGAAAATGGAATGAGCAAGCTCAATGTGACTGACTGGAGGAGAGGGGGGAGAAGTGAGGTAACATTGATCAAGATGCTTTGAATCCATAAATAGGTACATTAAGTTACTATGATTTTATGAAGCATAAACAAAGACAAAACAACATCAAATAATAACATGTATGTGGAACCCTCTTGGAACTGTATGTCTTTTTTTTTTTTTTTTTTTTTTTACCATACAGAGGGGTTACAATTACATGGGCAAGGTAATGAGTACATTTCTTATCAAGCATTGTTGCATCCTCCTTTGTTTCCCCTTCCCATCTCCCCCACCAGCCTCCTTCAACCTCCCCCGCCCTCCCCACGGCCAAAGTTGTAAAGTTCGTTTTTTGACATAACCACTTGTACATCTCATTGTTACAATGGGTCCACCTTATAATGGTCTCTAAAAGAAGCTTTGAGAAAGAGAATAAACAACCACCAGTGTGAAAGAGCAGCCTTTCTCACAGGAAAAAACAAAAATCCCAAATCTTTTCTTTTATCCTCAAGAGGGAAGCAGCCCAGGGAATCTTCTGAGCAGCCTTCCCAATAGACCAACCTTTCATAGAGGCCTCTGACCCCAGTGGGAACAACAGATGTGTTGTCTTCAGTCTCTGCTACCTTCCCTCTGGGCCTCTCTTCTCTCTTGCAAAGCTACTCCTTGGTTGGAGGTTTATAGGCAGCAATGGATCTCTGGACCTGCTGGCTAAGTAACTCTGGGCCGCCTAGACTATCAGCCAACAGCTTACATAGTATAAGGGGAAGCTCTAGGTATATTTTAAAATACAGTTAGGAGGATAAAATACTTATTTAACAGCAGTTGTAGTGGCTCGTTTTTATGCGTATACGTTCGTTTTTAATATGTTTTTTATTGTAAAGATACTGTACAGGGGGGTTACAGTTATATGACTAAGGTAATGAGTACATTTCCTATTGAGCATTGTTGCCTCCTCCTTTGTTTTTCCCCTACCATTCCTTCCCCACCTCCTCAACTGCTCCTCTCTCACACCAAAGTGGTAAAGTTTGCTTTCAACAGTATCTTGTACATCTCATCGTTACAATGGGTCAACCTGTATCCCTATTTAAGCATTTTGTTTTTTCCCTTACCCTCCCCAAATTAGAAAAGTGTATATATACAAGATGTAGGGCACCAGAATTAAATACAGTGAAAATAGGGGTTATACCGTGGAGGAGGAACATACCAAAGAAACAAAAAAATAAATCACATAGTACATTATAAGTACGTTAAAAACAATAGCAACAAAGAAAAAACCACTTGTGTCCCTGTCTTGGGGTTCATTTCACTTAGCTTCATCTTATATGGTCATACATACATAGCTTTTGACCTTTTCTGCTTGTCCCAGACATATACTAGTTATTGCAAATAAGGGAAACCATGGGACCTATGTTTCTTTGGGCCTGGCTTACTTCACTTAATATAATTTTTCCCAAGTCTTTCCATTTCCTAACAAATCGGGCAATGTAATTCTTTCTGATGGAGGGACAGAATTGCACATTTTCTTGATCCATTCATCTACTTAGGGGCATCTGGGTTGGTTCCATATTTTACCTATGGTAAATAATGCTGCAATAAACATAGTTGTGCTGGTAGACTTGTGCTGTATGGCCTTGTTTGTGATCATTTGGGTAAATGCCCCAAAGTGGGATTGCTGGGTCATAGGGGAGCTCTATGTGGAGTCTTTTGAGGAACCTCCATACTGCTTTCCAAAGTGATTGCACAAGTTTATACTCTCACCAACAATGCAACAGAGTTCCCTTTTGGCCACATCTCCAGATTCTAACTGGGGTGAGGTGGAATCTCAATGTTGTTTTGATTTGCATTTCTTTTATGGCTAGAGAGGCCGAGCATTTCTTCATGTATCTATTGGCCATTCTTATTTCCTCTTCAGAGAAGTTTCTCTTTAAGTCTTTAGCCCACTTATTTATTGGGCAGTTGTTTCTTTGTGGATTTGTTGTTGGGAGATTTATTTTATTTTATTTTTTGGTTGGTCGTGGGGCTTGAACTTTGTGCTTGGGCGCTATCCCTGCACTCTTCAGCTCAAGGTAAGTGTTCTACCACTTGAGCCACAGCGCCACTTCCTGAGATTTAATTTTTTGAGTTCCTAGTATATTTTAGATAGGAGACCCTTGTCTGTTGTATGGCTAGTGAAGATCTTCTCCCAATCCGTGGACTTTCTATTGATCTTGCTAGCTATGTCCTTTGCCATGCAGAAGCTCTGCAGTTTCATGCAATCCCATTTGTACAACCTTTCTTTGATTTGTTGTGTTTCTCGGTCTCTATTAAGAAAATTTTGGCCTGTGCCAAGGAGCCCTAGAGTTTCTCTTATTCCTTCCTGTAATGTTTTCAGGATGCCTGCTTTGACTTCGAGGTCTTTGATCCATTTGGAGTTGATTCTGTTGTAGGGTGATATATAAGGATCTAGCTTTACTTTTCCACAGGTGAGTAACCAATTTTGCCAGTATCATTTACTGAAGAGGCTGTCTTTCTTCTATTCTATGTTTTTAGCTCCTTTATCAAAGATTAGGTGGCTATAAGTCTGTGGGTTCATTTCTGAGTTTTCAGTTCTATACCATTGGTCCTCAGGTCTGTTCTTGTGCCAATACCAAGCTGTTTTGATTACTATGGCTTTGTAGTAGAGTTTGAGATTTGGTGTTGATATTCATCTAGCACTGTTCTTTCTGTTAAGGATTATTTTTGCTATTTGGAGTCTTTTATTGTTCCATATGAATTTTTTGGATTGTTTCTATTTCATTGAAGAATGAGATTGGAATATTGATAGGTACTGCATTAAGTTTGTAGGTAGTCTTTGGAAGTATTGCCATTTTCACGATGTTGATCCTTCTAATCCAGGAGCATGGGAGGTTTTTCCATTTCCTAAGTTCTGCTTTAATTTCCTTCTTCAGGTTTTTAAAGTTTTCATTATAGAGGTCCTTCACTTCTTTAGTTAACTCCTAGGTATTTTATTTTTTGTGGGGCTATTACAAAAGGAGTTGCTTTCTTGATTTCAGCCACATTCTTCTCATTGTTGGCATACAGAAAAGCCACTGATTTTTGAGGGTTAATTTTATACCCTGCTACTTTGTTAGGCATTCATTTTGCATCTACTATTTTTATTAAGAGCCAACTCAGAGCCATGCAGATTTGCTCATGAAGAATGATCAGCGAGCCCAGGATGGTGTCCAAGGCTTGGCTCTGCGGGTGAGCGTGCAAGCACTGTGGAGGTTGGGAAAGACCAGTGCTGACTTGTTGGAGAGGACAAAATGACTTCTCAAAGTGGCTCTCTGAGCATACCTTGCCTGCCCCAGGAGGGAAGGACCAAAGTGCTGGCTGCTGTTCGGGACACATGCCCTGAGCTTTATAACATCCACACTGAAGCCTGATTCAAGCCTAAGTGAGGGGCTTCCAGGCCAGGATGGAGGTCCCCAGAGCAGCGCATGGCACTGTGCCACTCAGGTCTCCCCCTTGCCTATGAATTTGCTCCCAAGCTCCTACTGCCTTCTGGCCTTTCTCCTTCTAGCTTAGTAAAGTTCCCCCTGGGTCATCTGCAGATCTCCAAGTCCCACTGGTTTGGCTTTCTGCAGAACAGGTCCTCCATGTCTTTGGCTTAAGTGCCTCTCACTAAGCCATTTCCCATAAAATTTCCTTAGCAAAGGCTCCAAGATCATTCACGCCCACAGGCAGGGAAAACTTCTCACTACAAGTTCTGTCTGTCACCCAGCACCACACAGTCCTCCATGGACTAGACACTGCTAACATTCTAGTTCACAGGAGATGCTGGAGCCCCCATCCTCATGGTCAATATGGCTGTGGCCTCCGGTTTCCTGAGCAATTCTACTCCAAAACTGTGCCCTATTCCCGAACATGTTTAAAGTGAGTTTCACACTCCTTGGCAACAACTTCTCATCTTCCAGCTCTGGCCTCTTCAGGTGTCACGCATCTTCCTTCTATGTCTGCCTTTCATCCAGCCACACAGGTTGTGGCCTGAGGCAGGCATCCTTCTACTCTGCAGTCTTTATACTGATTGTGGGCCCAAAAACCATGCATCAGAATGTTCCGCTTACAATGCTATCTTCTCATTTTACCTGCAAAATTGAACTGTTCCCAGAAAGCAACTGCATCTATTGTAATCTATTATAAGCCAAACTCATTTTCAAGTAAACTAGCCTGAATATTTAAGATAATGTGTGCAAAATAGTTCCAAGTACTACAGAAAGTACCAACATTCTGAAAAAAAAAGTAATTTCTCAAATCTTTTAAGAAAAAGATTAGGATGCCTGATAATTAAGCCTCTTATTTATATGACAATAATGAGTTTCATTTTTCTTATCACAAATTCTGAATTAATTCAGATAATAAGGGCTCTATTATTTTAGAAACCAAAGGTTGAACAGAAAGTTTCAAAATTGAACACGTTTCAGGTGTGACTGAATGACTTCAACCAAAGGTATTAAACTTTTGAAACACGGTTTTTTGTTCCCTCCAAGTGGACACAAGAGTGATTTTCCCTATAAACAGGGGAGTGGTCAGACCTAACAGCTAGTCAACTCCTCTCTTACCCTCCTCAGCACACTTGCTACATTCATTCCTCAAATGTAAACATGCCTTTTCAACACGCACAGAAAATGCGGAGATAGGTGAAGAATAGTGTGTTTTGATAAGCAGTAAGGTTTCTATGTTCTCTCTTGCAATGCTTTTCCAAATGAAATATAGCTACCATACTGAAAATGTCTGACAGACATCTAATATCAATCTGAGAAGTGTCCAGAGTGAGTCCATTCATTCAGCATACTCATTTGACAAGAAAGGATGCTTACTTGCAAATTGTAGTCTTGCAGAATTTTAACCAAAGAATCTCTCAGACTGGGGATCTCCATCCCTTCCTTAATGCGGTGAATCAGGAGAATGGGGTCAACATGTGTGCCAATGTTGTTTAACAAGCCAGTGATAAATGCTGTCAAATATCACAGAAAATAGTTAACATGAAGGTGACTTTAGAATGCATTCGGAACTAAAAACCCTGTTTCTTTCAACTAAGTGTTAAAAACCACTGGATTTCTGAACCCTGAAGAACCAATTTTTCTTTGTTTCATCTTGGTTCTGAAGAACAGTCTAGGGCTGGAGGTAATGCTCAAGTGGAAGAGTGCTTGTCTAGCAAAGTCCAGACCCTTGATTCAATCTCCAGTGTAAGAGAGAGGAGGCAATTTAAAATAGTTGAAGAAAGCCTTAGATTTATTCATATCTTCAAAATATCATTTATATTGCCAAAGGGGTACAACTAATATAACGGAGAGTTTCCTGTGGTTGAGCTATCACATACTTCTCTTCAATACTGTGCAAGGCTGGAATGTGCAATGTTTACATTTTAAAAACAAGGGAAACAGTGTTTAATTTAGTCAGAGCCATAAAATCAGAAGCAGGCAATCCAGACTCACACCCAGGCCAGAGCAGGTTCAAAATGTATTTTAATATTCTCAGTGGCTATTACTCTATCATGGTAAGTTACATTCTTTGTTACCAAAGAGGGAAAAGTCAGTGTCAATGTCAGATCAAGGCGTTTACATTTGCACCAAGCCTTCCTAACTTAGAAAAGATAGCAAGAAGATTTTAAACCACTCTTGCTAGTCTCTGAATTATTTCTAGGTCTTCCAAAGAGAACTTGGGTGGCTTTAAGGTTATTGCTTTTGTTTATTTTCCCAAATAAACAAAATGGGATACCAAGTGGTCAACCTTATGCAAATGGTCAACCAAATGTAAATGGTCAACCTTAAAACCAACAAATACAGTCGGTCAACCTTAAGACCAACGAATACTTTTGGGACTGTGTTAGTAAAACTCTGCCAGAAAGCCGGGCGCTGGTGGCTCACGCCTGTAATCCTAGCTACTCAGGAGGCTGAAATCTGAGGATCACGGTTCAAAGCCAGCCCGGGCAGGAGAGACCGTGAGACTTCTATCTCCAATAAACCACCAGAAATCCGGAAGTGGCGCTGTAGCTCAAGTGGTAGAGCGCTCGCCTTGAGCTGAAGAGCTGAGGGACAGCACCCAGGCCCAGAGTTCAAGCCCCACGGCCGACAAAAAAAAAAAAAAAAAACTCTGCCAGAAAACAAAAAACAAAAAACACCTAAATACTATAATGAAAATATCTAGTCATGGTCAGAATCCAGGAACAGTTATATATTTCCATGAAAGGAAAACAGCAAGGACTTTATATATTCACAATAAAGGCCTCAGTATACAAATGAAAACACCCACTCCACCCCAACCTTATCTATGCACTTATCCAGTGTGGCTACAGCACGTAATGTCTGCCTCCTGGGGACACAGCCAATACGCTGTGTAGCACCCGTTCTTTATCTCCCTCAGGCAACATAAAGGGGTGAAGCTCCAATCCTCTCACTATGAAGGAACTGGCCTGTTACTGCATACATGTCGCCACATTTTCAATCCAGTGCAACCTGAGATAACTCTTACTCTAGATACAACTGGCTGTGTTGAAAGAAAAGCAGATTCACAGATGACTTCTACTTACGTGGTTTGTCGATGGAATATAAAATCAGATCTTCCCAGAGTTCCGCATCGTCTTGCTCCTTGGCAAATTCAATAGCTTTATCAACGTTGTGCAATTCCTCCATAATCATCTTCAGGGCACTTCGACTGTTACCCATCCGGCCTAGCAGGGGGAAGAAGCATGAGAAAGATACCATTAGTTAAAAAAAAAGAAAAGAGCCTATCTTTGTTTACACCCCCCTTTCTACCCCCCTCCTCCCAACACAATAAGAGAACAAACCCTATTTAGTAAGTGCAGTTGTGGCCATTTAGGTGCTTCATATCAAAGTACCATTCAATGGGCACTCTCGCCCTATGAGGGACCGTCTATCAATGCTCCTATTTAACAGAAGGCAAACAGAAATGGCAGTAACCAAGATCACATAGTGACTAAATGGTAGTTTGAATCTGAGCCCAGGTCTATTGGATTTCTTTTAGATTTTAATCCTATTCAGATAATAGTTCAGTCTCAAAGGCCCTGAGAATCATTCTGCCTCTTGAAGGTGGCTTTGCACATCACTCTTCTGATGTAACTACAGACTGACTTATCAGAGGTTCCCTAATTCCCTCCTCTTCCAAGTTCAACAATCTTGATGAGATGAAGTATTTACTAACTATGCTTCCTTTAGCTCATATACACTTTTCTCACTGATCTACTGGCATTTGGATGGTTTTTTAATAATTTAATAATAATGTAACAGTTCAGCTGTTAGTACAACTTATGCTGAAGGCTTTACGTAGGAGAGGGCTGGCTGTGGGCTTCTCTCGCCCCTGTCCCTGTCCCTTGTCTTAAACAAGGTCTAGTTAGGGATCTTGGACCTTCCCTCTGTGAGCCACCATTATCTTCTGTAATGTCAGAGACAACAGCTGCATCTTATTTTGCTGAGCAACACTGACTTAACCTGGACCCACAAGTTAATTAGAAAAGGATAAAGGTTAGGCATCCCAGACTTCTGTATTTTTGTCCCTACAACCTCTGTCCTGAGCCACTCTCTCCTGAAGTCACTTTGCAGCCATCTTGGGATCCAGCAAGTGTGGGACCACATGCCAGCTGTCAACCCCTACTGTAACAAAGCCCCATCTGCCTAATTCTGACACCACCGGACCTTAGCTATGGCTCTCTGACTGGCTTTTGACTTCGGACTGCTTTGATTATGCATACGTTTCTCACTTTCTCCCCCCAATTCTCCCTAAGGAGTCTCATATCTGTGATCCTGGAAGATAGCTGAAGATGTACTGAAGTACGGTCTTCCTGTGGCTGATTATAATTTTAAATGAAATTATTACTCCACCTATAATTTTAATCTATGTTGTGAGGTGTGAATTTTGTGTGTCTCTTTGTTCTTTTTGTTGTTGTTGTTGTGCTGGTACTGGAGTTTGATCTCAGAGCCTTACACTCTCACCTAGTTTTTTCATTTTTTTTGTTCAAACTTGGTGCTTTACCATTTGAGCCACACCTCCACTTCTGGCTTTTTGCTGGCTAACTGGGGATAAGAGTCTCATGGACTCTTCTGCTTAAGCTATCTTCAAACTGAGATCCTCAGATCTCAGTCTTCAAAACAGCTAGGATTAGAAGGGTGAGCCACAGTGCCTGGCTGTCTCTTTTGTTTAGTCTACATTACCAGTATGTTCTTTCAACAGTATTTCTTCAGTAACTCTTCTTTCTCTATTGTGCCAGAAATGTTCTCTCTTCATATCTTAAATTTTTATGCAATCTAGGCTTGAATGTCTGATACTTTGCTCTGAAACCTACACCCATCCTTACAGAGTTTATATCACACTACCATTCCACTTGTTTATGGGGACCAAAAGAAATAAAAGTACTTACTCAGAAGATAAACCGTCTCTTCTACAAAGTTCCTCTGTTGACAGATCTCCAGAGCCTTCAATAAAAGCAGGTAAAAATATCAGCAGAGACCACCAAACAAGAACAAACCGAGGCTTACCAACTTGGCAGAATGTTTCCATTGCTTTTTCTTTATCAACGTGACAAAGTGGACAATCAAAAGAGAATTTTGCATCTTGATAGCAACCACACTTGGCTGCCTCAGAGAGAGTCAGGGTGCCTGCACGGTTTCACTGAGAGCAGAAGTGAGGCACTCATCACCCTTGCAGAAGGCAGGAGCAAGCCCTTCCGGTGGAGCTCTCTTTATGCTCGGTTATGCGTCTTTTTTCTTACGTTTTTGACTGTACCTGGGGCCTCGTGCTTGCTGGCTTGTTGTTCCACCACTTGGCCACTCCCTTAACCCTTCCTTTCTTCTTCAATTTTCAGTGATATTTTGGACAGGGTCTCCGTTTTTACCCAGGTCTGACCCTGGACTACAAGCCTCCTACTTATGTTTCAAAAGTGGCTGGAATTCCAAGAGGAGCCATACTTACCTGGCTTGCTAACTTTGCCCAGGTTGACCTCAAGCCATGAACCTCCCCCTCTCTGCTTCCCACAAGGCTGGGATTAGGGCATGCACCATCATCTGTTTCTTTTCTGTACTACTTTTCACTACAGTCATTTGTTTAAACCGTCTCCTGCCTCTAGAACATATCCTGTAGTGGCGCTCCAGTGCAGACATGCTGCTCACTGCTATATTTTCCTGGTACTGAGCAATACCAGATGTGCTTGCTGCAGGAGGGAGGGAAGGAGGGAGGGGGGAGAAAATGAAGAAGGGAGGGAAGGGGCACACACTGAGAATACTTCTATGTCTAGCTCACAGAGTTTAAGAGAACACACACACGTGATGATGAAGGAGGATGCAAGAGGAGATCAAGTACAGAGAGGCGGGACTGCACAGACGCAGGAAGCCCCCTGGTATTGAAAGGACACACCACGTAAGGGTAAACAAGCCAGCAATCCTAACTGCATGGGATGCATCACTCTGCTCTGTGCTGGGTGCTGGAGGGTGAGGTTGACAGAGGAGCAACAGTGATGACAAAAGTACACACACACGATGGCCTGAGAGAGCAGAGGGGGAGGGGATCTGGGAGGCTGGCAGACAGGGTGCCCCACTGACCTGCACCTGTTTCAGGTGTCACTTCTTCTGGGAGCTTGGTGCAAGGGATCACGCGAGGCCAAGGTACTTCCCTGTGAGGCATCTCACGCTCTGCCAGTCATGGAGTCACAAGTGATCATGTCTCTATTACTCTCCCTGTATCCCATGTTCCTGTGGATGAACTGTCTGCCTCTGCTCCCAGTATGTTAAAGTGTAACCTAAAGGTTCCCAAAACACCCCCTTTTCCTTGGGAAGGAAACAAGACTACTTGAGGACAGGCTTGTCTGGCACCCAGGAGCGTTTGCAGTCTGAAGCCTATCTGAGGTGTCTGACACAGTGGCCACCTGCTCTATGCAGATAGACAAACTCAACTGGATTGAAGTAAAATTACAGTGCAGGTCCTAGGCACAGTGCAGTACTCAGGAGTGGCTTCCACAGTGTAGAGCAGATTAGCACACATATCCCTCCCTGCAGACATTCTACAGAACAGAGGTGTTCTGAGTTATTGCTGTGACACACCAAAAGGGAAATGTGTCATCGAGTTTAAGGATAACTAGAGCCTCAGACATTAGACTTTCCAATCATGCACTGGTAGCTCCTGATGGTAATCCTAGCTACTCAGGAGGCTGAGAACTGAGGACTGAGGCTCAAAGCAGGCCTGGGCAGAAAAGTCCCTGTGAGACTCTTATCTCCAATAAACTACTTGAAAAAGCTGGAAGTGGCGCTGTAGCTCAAGTGGTGGAGTGCTAGCCTTATAGCACAAAGAGCCTTGGGACAGTGTGCAGCCCCTGTATTCAAGCCCCTGGACTGGTCAAAAAAAAAAAAAAATTGGGGCTGGGAAGGTGGTTCAGTGGGAGAGTGCTTGCCTTGCATGCCTGAGGCCCTGGGTTCCATTCCTCAGCACCACATAAGCAGAAAAAATTGGAAGTGGCGCTGTGGCTCAAGTGGTAGAGCGCTTGCCTTGAGCGAAGAGCTGAGGGACAGCGCCCAGGCCTATGGTTTAGGCCCCATGACCAACAAAAACAAAAACAAAACAAAACCAAAAAAGAAATTAGAATTTACTGGATTATTAAATGTTGTATGAATAGCTGCTTATCACACCTTAAAATATCATCTAATAAGGAATGTAGACTCTAGAAATCTCTAGTAATATTTTGTGTAAAAAAAATTTCTAGAGCTCAATTTTTCTGCTATGGACCAATGGGACCTGTGCCATACTGGAGTGTTCGCGGGAATCTTGTGCTCCCTCTAGTGGCAACAGAATGCAATCTCAGGTTCCTACACCACAGACACACAAATGCAAACCTATAGCAAAGGAACAAAAATAAAAGCAAAAAAAAAAAAAGCAGAATCATGACAAACTGAGTAAAAAGTTATGTGAAAGAAATGTTTTAATACTCTTTTCCCCTAATTAACATAAAGGTGCGAATGAGACTTGGAAGTCTGAGTAATAACCTTATCACGTATAAATTCAGTCATTACTTTAACCTAGCCTTGACTTTGTTAGCCAAACATTTTTTAAAATTCTTTAGTGAAAATCTGTGAATAGGAATTTTTAACTTCCATTTTCCACAAGTGAAGGAGGAAATGTATCTTTCTCTTTTTCCTATTTCTCCCTACTTTAATCTTGTTCCTCTAAAGTAAATCCTCGTTTAAGCTTTAAAAAAACAGAGAAAGAAAATCTGTGAATACTGTTTTCCAGAGTATTACTCCAAATTCATAAAAGCTGCTACCTTGTGAATGTGGCTAGACACAGAGAGAAGTCATACTTTCAGGAATAAATTTGCCAAGGCTTTTAGAAAGTTGGTGCTCTGCTGTTAATGATTCTCAGGCATAATCAAATCAGATTCACAAATGCAGGATTTGAGCCTGAGAACCAAATCTATATGGCAGGAGAAAGGACAGTAATGCATTTCCCACAATGCTTGCAGTATTAAGTAATACTTTAATTCCTACTATCCTACTAAAATTTCAAGCTTGAAAAAAATAATTCTTCCCTTTAATGGAAAGACAAGACCTCAATTTACAAGATCAAAGATCCTTGTTGTGGCCCCTTGACTTCTCAGCTTTAGGCTGAGGGCTGTTTCATTCAGCAACCCAAGATTCACCTTGGTCATGAAAACCACTCTACCTCCTGTCTGCACTTTTGTAGAGATTAAATGAAATCAGGTACATAAAAGAGCACATATGTTATAAATTTCCACAAACTCTGCATCATTCTCAAATGAACAAGAACCAGGTAACTTGAGAAGCTGTGTGAGGTAGGAATCTTAACATTTTTGTACAACTACTCAATAATAACAATTTTTTTTAAATGAGAAAAAAAACTGAAAAAAAAAAAGAAAACAACAAAAAGCACTCACTTAAAAACACAAAACTGTGGGTGATTTTAAATTTAAGAATTGTGGTGATTTTAATTCTCAAGACTCTGGTGCTAGGTAATTGTCCCTTTGATAGGATATCAGGGTATCTATCAGTTTCTGACTCATTCCTGTTGACTCAGAGTTTCATCAGTTCAAAGTAAGGTCAATCTGGTTCTTGAAGATTTCAACCAGTTGCCAATTTGCAATCACTCCTCCTTTTAACCATTACTCAACTCCAGCAAAGACAAATAACTAATAAAAGAGGAAGACAGACTCTTCTAATGCAGAAATATCTGAGAGAATAAATGATGTTACTATTTTAATATTCAAAAGAAAAGATTACATTTGCTGTGCATCTATCTTTATAGAACAGGTGAACCTCTCTCTATTCTATGACTTCCACTTAATGTTAGGTTGAATGCTATCTGCTGGTCAATCCACTTTGTCGTTCATGAACTGCTTACAAGGGTAGCATTCTATTGTTACAACTAAACCTAAATGGAAATAGTTCCTAGGATGATTAAATGTACATAGAATTCTTTTAAGAAAAAAATGGAATAAGATCCATTTAAGAGTCAGGAAATCCTGAGCATCTCTGGGTGTCTGCAGAAAGGGGCAGTGAGCTGTTTTTGACATTCACAAACTTCCCATCGTGAACAATGACAAAGAATATTCTCTAATGAAGACATCAGTGACCCTATACATTCTTCCTCTGTACATTCTTCTGTACATTACCCTGTACAATGTACAGGTAAATGGGAAAGAGGGACTAGTAAGCAGACAATCACAATGCAACAGAGAGTGTTAGAGAAATACAGAAACAGGCAGATGTGTAGAGCAGACAGTGTGCAGGACCAAAGTTATCAGCTCTGGCTTAGAAAACCCGACGCCTGGCTGGAGTGACTGCTGCTGGCTTTGGACAGTCCGCGTTGCTCAAGACTCAGCTGGAGATGCCTCCCAGGCCCTGGAAGACTGACCCAATGCTCCCAATTCTGCTGTCGCTTCAGCTTAGGGTTGCCAGGGCCTGGATCCTGGACTAAACCGTTATTCCTGGGCTCTTCATCAACATCAAATCCATTTCTTGTCAGAATGGCTCACTCACACCTAGCAGAACCAGCTGCAGTGTGAGCAGCAGTCTTCCTCTTGAACAGGGATGGAAAAGGGAGGGAAAGCCAAGGATGACAAATGACTTAGCCCTGATGACAGCTACTTACAAAGTTCACAAATGGGAAAGTCTCCACCTTACCTTTTCCAGTGGGCAGTGAGTACTATCTCGCAGAAACGGAAGTAAGTTTGGTCGGTCATACTCAGCGTAAAGACTGATCTGTTTTTCATGGTAGCGCTGGCCCTTATGGTGGTCTCTCTTGAAGAGCTTATGCAAATACTACAAGGACAAGATAAGCCATAAATACTAATGGGAGAAAAAAATGCTCTATCCCCTACCTCTGCCCTAGCCTCCTCCTGGAATGAAGGAAATGGGGGAAGAAAGGAATGTGTCATGTAGCTGATATCCCTGTTCCTACCATTAGACTTTCCTCGGCCACTGTAAACTTTTCTTCTACAAGTTTAAAGGGCATAGAAAATAGCTGCTCCTGCTTTATTCCCTGATAGTACAGTATATGGGATTGAAGTGGTCATAAGGATATCTAGACTCACAAGCCTTCACAGCAGAGCCCCCAAGACTGCAGGGGACATGGGTTAGCCACTGTCAAATGTGTGAGGATGAAATGAGGATCTGCTCTTTGACCACTCCGCGGCACTGAGTGCAGAACAGCTCTGTGTGTTTCCTTGGCAGGAGGACTCAACATCCACAGAGTATACTTGGCTTTTGCAGTAATTCATGACCTGATTATATTTAATGGCCCTTATGGGGGAAGTAGCCTACTTCTAGATTCCTAATATGAAGCACTAAAATGACCATATTCGATAATAAACCAAAGTTCACATGCCTGTCCTGCAATTAAGCCTTGGATTCTTAGTATTTGTCACACTTTAGCAATTTCAGCGGATTGCTTGCAGTCAGACTGCCGATCTGCACAGTGACCTTTGTGAGAAGTTCCCATTGTAACACCCACCAGTACTGAAAGGTGCTGTGTTCTACTGTTCCATGAAAAGGGAGGAAGACAGTACTGCAGTCCACATGGCTGCAAGTGCCTCTAAGTCTGCACACTTACAATTCTTCAGCTATATACTCAAGAGGGGGTAGTTCTATTTGTAGTCTTCACTGACTTCCTTAGAAGCCGCACTAATTTGTGTTCCCACAACTAGGTATAAAGGTTCTTTTCTCCCCACTCCCTGCATCCTTACCAATACTTCTGCACAATTAATATATACTAATTTAAAATAGAAAAAAATCTTTAAAACAAAGACAAAGAAGACAATAACACTTACTACATGTTGCAACTCTGGCCTGTCTTCTAATTCTTCCACTACCTTTTTAATCTGAAGAAAACAAAGATTAAATGTAGTTGGGAAGACACAAACACAGTGGTAAAATTACCCAATGAACATCTCTTTTCCTTCTAGCTCAAGTAGTTTCAGATGTTCATTCATGAATTGCATGCCATGATTTAAGTGTCATTTATTCCCTGTGGAGGCTTGGTTCCCTAATATGATGGTCCTGAAAGGTGGAGGAACCCTTCTGAAGTAGAAAAAGGATTAATGTTAATCCCAGAGTAGAGTAGATGCAACAAGAGGAGATGGTTGTAAAAAGACCGAGGGTCTTTTGTAGATAAAAGATACAGATAGTTTCCCCTCCTAGTTATCTTCCATGCGACTTCTCTCTTTTACAAGAGCACTGCTGGGCCTCGTATGTGTCTCTCCCTTGCTGCTCCCCCCCCCCCACACCCCATCTCTTGCCATGGGCTGTTCTGCAGGGCCTTGTGACAGCAAGAAGGCATCACCAGATGCACTTGGACCAGTGCACTGAGTCAAAAGAAACATCCTACCTCTCGAAGTTATCCAGTATGTATTATGGTGTTACTAGCAACAAAAAATGGACTTCCAGATATAAAAATAACAAGATACTTACAGAAATTTTATCTTCATTGTCCAAAAGCATGTCAACAGCTTTCTGAAATATAAGAAAATAGTCACTGAAAAACTGCTACATGAAAAACACAATGCAGTGCATACACAACTGCAGTTAACAGTGAGGGCTTGTGGAGGAGCACCTAGCTTTACAATAGCTCTTATATATGACATTTACAGAGATACGTATTTCCGAATATGTTTCACTCTGAGGTCTGAGCAATTTGCATATACTAAGATGATGTTTGGCTGTAACTTGCTAAATAAAAGCATCCTGATATATTCGAAACATCTGCCACATTCTAGCCTCCTCAGGTACCTTTGCCAGTTCTCTTGTGACTCTCAATAGTATCTCATCACTGTAAACACAAAATGAGCTTCTCTTCCAATGACTCAAACCTTCACTGAGTTGTCTGAACAGATGACTACAACTATACATCACAGTCCTGGTAGTGTAACTGAAACATGCAATAAGCCTCTTGGAACTTTTGGGCTTCTGCTTCTAGATTTATTTAAAACTTCTATTTCAGCAGAAAAAGCTGGAAGTGGCACTGTAGCTCAAGTGGTAGAGCACTAGCCTTGAGCTGAAGAGCTGAGGGACAGTGCCTAGGCCCAGAGTTCAGGCCCTACAACGGGCAAAACAAAAACAAAACTTCTATTTCCTCAATAAGATAGACTATGAGGAGAAGTGCGGGGGTGGGGGAAGGAGTGTGTGTGTGGGGGAGAAGATGGATAAGGGAATGAGAGGGGCTGAGAGAGACTATCACTTGGTAAGAACCACTGTGAACTATGAAGGGTGGAGTGGAGTTCCACTGTTCAATCTAAACTATGACAAAATAACACATTCTATATTTCCTGGGCCTAAGTATCACTGAGACCAATGGACACACACATGCTGGATCTGTGAGTGCCAGAAAAGAAAACAGTAACAAGAGGATCTAAACAGAAGTTCACTTAAATTTAAATTCTGGGACATGGAACAAGAGGGTTAAATGACCCAAAGCATATACCAAGTTTCTTAGTTTCTATGAAACATATAGAATGTTTTACTAAAAATTACTTTGGGAATTTTTAGGAGGTACTAGGTTTTGACTCAGGGTGTTATGCTTGCTAGATAGAGATTTTACTGTCCCAGCATATCTCTGGCTAAAAAGTACTTCAGACAGACAGACAGACAGACATCTTTGCAAGTTCTACACCAAAAGGTAATTGTTTTTAAAGAATAATCATATCAAACAAAGGATGCCTGAATACAAGTAATAAACTAACTTATAACACCGAGCATGGGAAGACAAGTCCCAGCTATGATCAGTGAGCATATAGAGGCCAAGCTAAGCGGTCCATAGAGATGTCTAATGATGAGACAGAGTTTATCACTACTAATCAGCACCTTACCTCTGAATCAAAGTCCATTAATAAGACAATTTTGTCCTTGATAGAACTGAAAAGATTATGTTTGTGGATCAACTGGAAAACATCTTTATGTCTTAATGTTAAGTATATTTCCAGAGCATTGCTGTAGTTTTTATCATACGTATACCTGGCAATAGAAAAACTTTTCATTAATATTCACTAGTTCTGGGAAACAGTTTCACCCACCGTCCTTATCTTCTAATTGTTTGAGATTTATAAAAAACTTTTTTAAATTAGGAGTACATGTAGAAAAATGGTAACAAAAAGCACCCTCACCCTTCAGTTTGCCAAATGTTAAGCATGAGAAACTTTTCAATATATATTGATCTGGGGGTGGGAGGAGGGAGAAAGCAGGAAAACATACTCACAATTCTGCCAGAGTTTTAAGCAATGTCTTGTTCTGACTGTCTTTCTTCAGGTGATCCCGAACTGCTTGGACTATTACAGAATTGTTATACAGATCTCCAGGCCATTCTCTGATGAGTGTGGCAAAACCCTAACCAAAGTAAACAACAGAAGAAAAGAACACTACAATCAGGCATGATGGGATGGAGTACACACTTTGGTTTTCACCTTGTCAGTCCAGGATACATATAGAAACTCAGTCACCATAGTCCCTCCTCATTCCAGGGGGTGGAGTTTCCTATCAACACCCAGAGGAAGGCATGGCATGCTGAGAAGTCTCACCAGGTAGGCCTCCTGGGGTTTTGCTCTATAGGCTGGTAGCCAGTGTATTCATGCAAAGAAGGCTCCAAAAACCTCATGTATAGCAGAGCCTGTGGAAGTTTCTGGATCAGCAAAGATGATACATTCTCAGAGGGCAGTGCCCTCAGAGAGGGTGCAGGAACACTGTTCCATGCACGCCTTGACCTGCGCATCTCTTTTCCTTATCTGTGGTGTTGAACATGCTGGCCTGAGTTAATCAAACCTGAGGAAGTTTGTGGAAACCTCCATGGATAGCCAATCAAGATGCACAGATAAAGAACTTGGAGCTTGACCTAGCAGGGGAAGGTACTGGGGGTCAATCTATGGGATGGAACATCAATCCAGATTATGTCAGAACTGAAGTGGACTGCGGATGCCTATCTAGTGTTTGCTGCAAAATAGATGGCCTGCTTGCTGGTAAAACCTTATACTTCTGAGTCGCAGAAGTCCTCCGCTCTGGGATGGTGTGAGAACAGAGGAAAACGGTGTTTTTCCAACACAAAAATACGATAACCCAAATAAACAATGCTTAGATGTGAATGTATGATTACAACTTTGGTCAATAAAGAGCTCAGTTAGCTTTTAGACTGTGAGCTTGCAGGAAGTGAAAAGAGGGCTGGACAATCACTGTATAGTCCTCCACTTACTGTTCCTGGAAGGCAGGCATCCACTTGTGCCTGATGAAATATACGACAAAGCAATGTACCTATTCCTTCCACAGGTGCCACAGCCCACACAAAGGTTAGCTCTGCTGTAGACTACCACATCTGGATGACATCACTAACATCTTCCAGATATGATCTAAGTCACCTTCACTCCTACCGCTCTCTATACACTTTAGGTCTGGGCTGCTGGGTGTTCCCACTTGGGACAGACTCCTCCCACAGTGGCTCTAAACCTGTAACAAGTTAGTCTTTGTTTTCCTTCTACTGTGGCTTCTAACTTTGGTTTGTGTTGGGTTTTAGGACTATGGCTTAAGTCTTAATCCCTAGCTCTATCTTTGGATCCCAAATTTTATGACTCAGAGAGAAACCCCAGCTTTCCTGATTTGACACTGTTTGCCACCCATGGCTGATTCTTGGCCAGTAGCCTAGCCTAAACTGCCTATGTCTTCTGCTTCTCAACTTCTGTGCTCATAAGTTAAAATTTGTGTAGTTAACTTATTGGTTTTGTTTGGTAAAAAAATTAGACTTATTTAGACGTCAGCAAAGAAAGGGGTAAAAATGTCCAAGTTACTAAACAGAGCCATATTATTAATATTAACTAACTCCACTAATTCTTTAGTAGACAACTAGTGAATTAGTTTAAATATTTGAAAGTGAATACAATCTGGCAAAAGTTGTTTCTGTATAATACCAGGATTTGGTAAGAAGAAAATAAAAGGACCAGTAATAGTGTTTTCACTGAAATGTCACTCAATTTCAACTAAGATAACCCTTGAAAAGGATGAAGAGAAACAGTAATAGACATGCATTTGCCATTTAAACCACAACCTTTCTGCATGTTAGCATGATTGCAATTTGACTCTATGGATTTGGGGAGGAAATGCAAACAGAACATAAAATATTAATTAACTAAAAGATTACTTTGGATGAAATTTCTCTTAAGACTTTGCAATGTATGAGAAGAAACAGCCTGTAAAGACTCTACCAAATGGGCAACTATCAGTAGTCCTGAAATAGAAACAATTCTGGTCAAGCAAAGAAAAAAGCATGGCCCTGCTTTCCCTCCTTCCTATCCAAACAAAACCCTCATCATATGACCTACTTCTAATACAAGACAAGCCAGGTGCTGGTGGCTCATGCCTATTAATCCAAGCTGCATGGGAGGAGAGGTCTGAGAATCGGAGTTCAAAGCCAGTCTGGACAGGAGAGTCTGTGAGACTTTTATCTCCAATTAACCACCAAAAGGCTGGATGTAGAGCTCAAGTGGTAGAGCCCTATCTTGGTCACAAACGCTCAGAGACAGCACCCAGGGCCTGTGTTCAAGCCCCAGGAACAGGGGAAAAAAAAAAAAGACAAAATGAATAAGGAGTATGGTGATTGTGATTTAAAGGATGAGTCCATGGCAACCATTCCACACTAAGCTTCTGTCTGCTTGATTGGCTTCATGCACCTTGAATAAAAGTGAAAAAGCACTGCCACCATCGACCTGTGGCCATAATGAGTATTTGAAGGACATAGCCAGAGAACTAACTGTAAGGACAGAGCAAGCAGGGGATAGAACAACGCCTGCCACAGTAAGTCAAAGGTGAAGAAGTGTGCATTGAAGGAAATGCCACAGGCCTGGGAAGGTGGCTCAGTGGTAGAGCGCTTGCCTTGCATGCATGAGGCCCTGGGTTCGATTCCTCAGCACCACATAAGCAAAAAGAAAAAAGCCGGAAGTGGCGCTGTGGCTCAAGTGGTAGAGCGCTAGCCTTGAGCTGAAGAGCTGAGGGACAGCGCCCAGGCCCAGAGTTCAGGCTCCACGACCGAACCACCCCCCCCCCCCCCAAAAAAAAGAAATGCCACAGAAATCATGCCATTTTTAACCTCACACATATTTCACTAATACTATGAAAACAAAACAAGAATTTAATACACTTCTGCTTGGTTATAAATTAATAGGCAAAGACTGGAAACTAGCTATATGGCTGGAAACACAATACAAACACATTATGGGGCATCATTACCTGCAAGAAAAGCATATTGCTTCTTATCTTTTTTAGGAAGAAAATATTTTAGAGAAGTATCTTTATTTCAGGGGAATGGGCAGGTTCAGGGAGATTTGGGATGAGTGGCTGGGAAAGTCTTGCTAATTTTCTCAGGTTGGCTTCAAATTCATATTCTTCCTGCCTTAGCCTCCCAAGTATGGGATTATAGATGTATTCTACTGTACCCAGCTTGGTTTGTTTTCTAATTACTTATATATTGTTAGTAAACTGACTTTTAATGCTATTAGCAGCACAAAATTCTCATCCACATACTATCAAAAATAGAATACTGCTTGTTTATTTCTTGGGGGTAATTTAATTCAAAATCAAACTGTAAGTTGAGACTAATGGAAGCTAAAGTATGAATTATTTATAAGACCTTAAACAATAAAAAGTATCTGTAACTTTCTTAATAGTCTTAACAAGACAGATACTCTAAAATATTCAGGAGCAAAATACTACAAGCCTGAGGTTGAAATTATACTTATTTCTTTTACTTTGGCTAAAAAGTTTTCCAGAGATGATAGCAATCTGTAGGATAACTTTGGTGAAGGGGATTTAAAACAGCCTAAGAGTCAAATCATATGAAAGAACTGTGACAAAATCATGTAAGTCAAATCTCTACATTTTTAAACATCTTCCATATACCACACCTCATAATCACTTTCCAAAAACTCATGTAAGATCATTTCATAGATGAGTGGTTTCAGAACCGGATCTCCTCTGGGCAAATAAGGACTAATGGCCTAGGGGAAGAAAGATAAAAAGTTCCTTTAAAAAGTGCCACGACAAAACTGTTTCCAATCATGCAGAAAACATAAAAGCAGAATTTTCTTTGGGAAACTGTTAAGAAAAGATCCAAAAGAATTCTTATTTTCTAACAACAAATTACAATATATTTTCAAAAGTATACACACACACACACACACACACACACACACACACACACACAGAGATACCTACATGTATGTAAGTATACACCAATGAATAAAAAACAGCCAAGGCTAGCCTTTATTTTTCTTTTTCCTGATCAATGGATAAAACATAGCCAAAGTCAGTGTCTATTTTTTTTTTTTCTTACTGAAAATCTTCAGTAAGAGGAGACTGAGGGCCATGAAGGTTACAACTCAGTAATCAGAGCAGGGGTCATCTTTTCTCTCCTCAGTGACTTGGTGTATCAGTCTTCAACAACTCAATTTTATCTTTTGAAATTAAGAAAAATACATCTGTGTCCTCAAATATTTCCAATGTTGTGTCCAAATTCTGCCTAATGATCCTCTCGTGCCTTACACGTCACCCATCGCTATGCATGGTACTGGGGATGGGAGCTCACAGCTCCTGAGGGAAAACTTGCAGATCCTTAAGTAGATAATGGCAATAGGATGTGGTGAGCAATGCCATAGGGCTAAATAACTGCTACAGAGGAGGATTCTATGGACCAAGGCCTGACTCTACTGGGCAAAGAAATTAGAGGAAGGCACATGGCAGGAGCCACAGGAGCACATGAACACACATGTGTTCAGGGAGGCCCAAGGGGCCCAGACTTGCCAGAGGAGGTCACTGACGGGACAAGAGGCTAGGGAGGAAGGGATGTGAGGCCATGGGAGGAATTCCAATTTTATCCTGTAGGTAGGAGTGAAGTAACAGCCAACAGAAGTCAGAGTCCGAATTTATATTCTGAACAGTGAGTGATCTCTGGACTAGGACTGTCCCTAGATTTCTCAGGAGATCTTGCAATGGCCCCCACAAGGGTGGGAGCAGTGGTTCCCAAGGGAATAGGAGGGGCCCATTGGGACTGATGTGCTAAAACTTTCAAGAACTGGAGAGTAGGTAGCGAGAGTGACAAATTCTCATCAACAGCAGCGGCTTGGAGCTATTACATTGGGAGAATGAGCATACAGCATGTCATAAGCACAGGTTCACAGGAGAAGGACCAAATCTTGACAGAATATGGACTTACTCTAATCTGAGTTAGCAACATCTGCAGTCTATCTACAAGGAAAATCAAAGTCTGGGTCCTGAAGCCCAATGACTAGATAGTCTCTCAGCAGAAGCTGAGAGCAGAAGCTGAGGAGAGATGCTGAGAACGTTTATGTGGCATATATAGATGAAGCAATAACTGGGACTTTCAAAAAAAGTACATATATAATCATGACAGAATATGCAAAAGGCTCACATGCCTATTATATCACAAAAGTTTTGTTTTGAATAAACATAGGAAAAAAGCTTTTTCAGCTTTTTGTTGGTACTGGTATTTGAACTCAGGGCCTCATGTTTGCTAGGCAGGTACTCTAACCAATATGCCATATCCCCAGCCTTCTATTGTTTAATTTTTTGGATAGGGTTTTGTGTTTTGCCCAGGGTTAGCCTCTGACCATGATGTCCTTTTACTTATGTCTTCTTTGCATCTGAGATCACAGGAGCATGCCACTATACCTAGCTTTCTCATTAAAATGGGGTCTTGCTAATATTTTCCCTGGCCGGCTCCAAACTATGATCCACACAGGTGTGCCCTGGGTGTTTATTTTATTGATTGATGGAAATGTTATATACTAAGGCAATTTATTCATTAGAGCTAGGCAGTCAAGTCTTGTCACTTGTCTTCTAGCAGGTAAATACTATTTGAATGTTGAAAACACGGCTAACAAATATACTGTTTTACAGTAATTCTTCTATAAATTTGAAGAAGTCTTACATTTTACAATCTACTAAATAGAAGTATTCTTATTTCCCAAAATCATTAGAATAAACATGAAAACTTTATCCACATACAATGAAAGCTAGAAACAACTAAGAAATCGAATATATCATGTAAATAAAAAGTATATATTTATATTTTCTACAGACAAAATATAAACTACTTCATATTCTGAAACAAATTATTCAAAGTTTATTTTTTCTTTCATGCTACTACTCCTCAGTATAAAACTGACTGCTACTAATTTTATTTCTATCTCAATAAACTACATGCAAAAATTACAAGTCAAACATAAAGCTGTGCGTACCTTAAGCTGTCCAATTTCTTTAAATTTATAAACTTCATATTCCCAGAGTGGTGCATTTTTCCCAAGAATTTTCTGGCATTTGCTGGCAGTAAAAACATCCCCAGGGGAAATGAAGTATATATGAAAAAAAAAGAGTCAGAATAAATGGATATTTTCCACAGTGGTTAATATTAACCTCTCTTTTTTGTTTTTATTTTGTCTTGAGTTTTTTTGTTTTTGTTTTGTTGGTTGTGGGGCCTGAACTCTGGGCTTGGGCACTGTCCCCCAGCTCTTCAGCTCAAGACTAGTGCTCTACCACTTGAGCCACAGCACCACTTGCGGATTTTTCTGCTTATGTGGTGCTGAGGAATCGAACTCAGGGCCTCATGCATGCAAGGCAAGCACTCTACCACTGAGCCACCTTCCCAGCCCAACCTCTCTGAGTTTTGACAAACTTCTATCTCTAGCACCAATGAAATCTCTCACTTTGGCTACTGAGGTTGACAGAAACAATGAAAATTAAACAAAGTATTTAACATAATGATGAGTCTTTTTTAGAAGACTACAATTAGGAGTTTTCCCCAATAACTTTCTTCTCCAGAGCTTCTATTTCTGTAGAGCACTGCTGGTTTGGGGTCCTTCTTGCCTGGAAGAAAACTTACCCTCCTTCAACTGTCAGTTCCTTCCTGAGTGGTTTTGAACATGGGCCACAAAGTCAAACCTCAGGAACTGTTCATGTAATTGAGTCAAACCTTATTTACGCCAGGAAGGAACACACATTCTTTAAACTCCCTTGGGGAGAAGCAGTCCTGAGGTCTTTCAGGATATACACTGCAGTTCCAGGGGCTCTCAGTGGACCACATGACCTCATTCTTACTTCCCGCCTACCACAGACCCCTGAAACCCATGACTCGAGGGTCTGACTCTTCCATCCAACTGCTACCCTCTGGTTGGGAGGCCAATTCTCCTTGTTTGTTCTGGGACAGTATTTCCAGGTTGTGTATAATGCAAATAGCCCAAGAAATTCCAGGACACAATGTCTCCTTCCAGGCAAATGGCAAGTCTGACTACTGTCCAGCACAATGAGGGCAATGAATTCTTCCAGAACAGCCCATTAGAAAAGATGTCCTACATTCAAGGTTCCTATCCAGTAACACAAACCATGGCTAGGCAGGGCCAGTGGGACACTACTCGGCTATGAGAAGTAGGGACTGCAGGTCTGGGGTAAAAGGCTGATCTACTTGCTACTAGTTCTGGTGCAGGAGTGCTCTGGCCATATCAACTCCTAAGATGTTCCTTAGGTCTAATCCCAGAGTCTTGTGTCATCTGCCAGAACCACAAAACTGGCACATTAACTTAAAACTTTATCAACAGGAATATTACACATACTTTCTCCTTGACACACCTCTCATTAAAACATCAGAGAAATCAATTCCCTTTGGGGAAAGTGGTGTGTGTGTGTGTGTGTGAATCTGTTTTGTGACTGGAACCATTAATACTAAAAAAAAAAAAAAAGTAAGCTGCAATGAGTGTCCTCTTTTTATTCACATAAACATTAATAAATAATCATGGAAACATCGTTACCGTGCTGCTGTGTCATAGTCTCCTCTCTCTATCAAGTGATTTATATATGCCAAGCCAATATCCTAGGGAGAAGCAAATGAAAGGATTTCATAATTCAGCTGGGAAACTGAGTCTCAGCTTCTTAGTGAGCTGTGACACTGGGGTCCTGTCCTGTTAGTCTGTAACCTGTCCAGATGCCTGCTGCTTTACGTAATTATGCTTGCTGTGTTTTCTAGCATATTTATTTAAATGTACTTGTACCTTAAAAAACAAATTTGGATATTCAGGTTTAAGAAAAGATACTGCATTGCTATTTTAAAGACTTCTAATCTGCTGCCCTCTTAAGATTTTCTGCAAAGGAAACTAAAAACATGGTCTAACACTTCCATGTTGTCACTGGATAAAACTTTGTTTTTCAGGCTTGCATCTGGAAACCTCCTCTACCCCACGTCTGAAGATCTGTTGTAAGAAAAAAATGCAATGATCGACTATTAGATTAAGAAGAAATATGAAATATTAAACTAAATTCGTTTGGAAAAAACAAGCCATTCAGAGTTCTGAGTTCACAGATAAAAATGCTGAGCTGACAGCAAGGATGACCGCTTTTGAGCATTGCTGTGGATTCACTCACTTCTCTGGGTTCTGAGAGGATTTGGATGGCAGTGCTACTACTGTACATATGGGCGACAGTTCTTGCTGATCTCCCCACATCCTTCTTACAAAGCATTATTTCCAGCATTTTCATGGATGCTTAAACTTGATATACAAAACAAAGCTTGGCTTTACTTCTGTATGTACCAAAGGTATACATGGAAGTTCCTCCTGGATGACAGAAATGGCAGGAGCTCATTTCTTCTTTGCACACCTGGTATGAAATGACATAGGCTACACAGAATTTAGTGTATGGGACAGTCTTTTTTTTTTTGGGTCCGGTCATGGGGACTGAACTCTGGGCCTGGGCGCTGTCCCTCAGCTCTTCAGCTCAAGGCTAGAGCTCTGCCACTTGAGCCACAGTGCCACTTCCGGATTCTTTTCTTTTTGCTTATGTAGTGCTGAGGAGTCGAACCCAGGGCCTCAGGCATGCAAGGCAAGTACTCTACCACTGAACCACCTTCCCAGCCCCTGGGACAGTCTTGTTTCAAGAGTGGAGGGACATATTCACTGTTTATTACATTGTCTTCTGTAATTGCTATGTGGTAAGTCATACTTGATATCTGCAGGAACTTGAGATAAGGAAGGGTGTCTACACTATTTCTCTGAATACAGACCTTTGTAACCTGTTTCAAGGCCCATCCCGCCACCCCTCCCGCCTTGTGCAATCACTGTGTCCTCCACTTCATTCTCTGTGCACCTCGAGTGCCAGACCTCTTCTACCTCTTTTTCCTTAGCACAGGCAGGCCTAAGCATCTCCCTTACATGGCACTTGGCTACAGCCTTCACACTCTTCTACTCACAGCTCACCTGATGGTCTATATTCAACTCTATCATCACCTACTTACTTTTTTTATTCCCTCTAACACATTGAGAATAAAAATCTATCAACAGAAAACTCACTGGGTACATTCATATTACCAAGTTCGGTGTACCTGAGTAGATGAAATTGCTTGGACTTTCTGACCTTACCTCAACCATGTCAGCTTTTAACTCTATACCCTGAATGCTCTCCTCTCCCAGCAAACAGCTTACCTCTGGCAGGTCCGAATCTGCTTTTTATGTCATCATTCCTGGAAGGACAACATTCCTGACAGAAACACCACTCTCCCATGTTGTCTGACTTATGCTCTAGCCCTGGGCTGATCCAAATTCAAGCCCTTGATTGATATATTTTTGTTAGCTGGTATTTTTTAGCTCTCTGGAATCGATTTTTTAAAATTCAAATTTCTTTCCACCAGGATTCCCCATGAGATCGTCTTCCCCATTCCCATCCCTCTGCAGGACTTATCAGTTTCCACTTGACCACCAGATGCCCTCTCTCTCCACCTCAGCTGGCCTCTCTCTGGCCACGTCTGCATCAGACTCCTTTTCTTTGTATTTTCAACATGGAGTTTTACAGAGAAGTTCAAGATAGGGAAGGAGTAGGACGAAAGAGTTTGTGCTGCAACTCAGTTTCTAGTTTCTGTTTACAGACTAGGAAGCTGGCTCCATGTTCCCTGAGGGCCCCTCACACGCAGCAGAAATTTCATGCCTGCTCTCCATCTGCACAGTCACTGCCACAGTTAGCAATGAAATGGGCTTTCTGCCACTGTATTTTTCCAGAACCCACAATGTAATAAAAATGTATTTGATGTCCTAGGTTAGTCTCCATAACAAAATCAACTGAGTTTGTTATCACAGAGACATCAAAGCAATCTAGTTTTAAGAAACCCCTTTTTTGATAAGTGTTGTGGTAATATGATTTTTACCTATGATTTAAAGAAACTTCCATACGTATGACTGGCAAGTTCTGTATTTAAAGTTTATTTCACAAATATAGTTTCCAAATTATCTACAACTACCTCTTAGCAGGTGTAAAAAATTCTTGTTTACAAGCAGAAACTGATTCAATAAAGACAACTTTTTTGATCTCATAGGTGAGAATATTAGTTTGAAGTAAGTTCCTCTGCAAAAAGAAGAATCTGCACTTTCCAAATTACTTTCAGCCTTGTTATTACTTAGTAAAAGATAGCTTTAAATACTGAAACTACACACTTACCAGAATCTTATGTCTTTTAATGTTCCTTTGGCTAATTTCAGCTGCCATCAAGGCTTCCTACATGTATATGGACATGGTAAAACAAGCAGAAGAGAGAAAGAGAAAAGGGGAGAGATGGAGAGAAAGTTAATGTAGTTATAAGTACTATGTTGATGGTATTTTTATTTTCTGGACTACATGAATGAAGCCTCTCTTCCTATGGCTGCTGCTAAAAGTGCTGGAAGTTTCAACACTGGTTCAAAAAGCTCCACTGAATTAAAATAGATGCAAGTATGTAAAATGAACACTTTTGCTTTTTTTTTTGATTGGTTGTGGGGCTTGAACTCTGTGCTTGGGTACTGTCCCTGCGCTCAAGGCGAGCGCTCTACCACTTGAGCCACAGCACTACTTCTGGTTTTCTAGTTGCTTATTGGAGATAAGAGTTTCACAGCCTTTCCTACCCAGGTTGGCTTTGAACCAAAATCCTCAGATCTCAGCCTCCTGAATAACTAGGATTACAGGCATGAGCCACTGGCACCCGGCTCACTCTTGCTATTTCCATGTGAATTAATTTACACATTAGAATACTAGAATCACCTTTCATAGACAAATACAAATATGACAAAAGCTCGTAGGCCAGATCCTATCCACTCCCTCCCTCTCCCACCAACCTTCCCCACTTAACAGTAAACCTCTTGTAGTCTTTTTGTTTTTAAATTTTTGACATAGACATCGGGAAGTTCCTGGTTTCCTACATGTTTTTGGCTTGTGGCACTCTAATTCAACTACGTAAAACTTATAATGTAAAGATCTTCCCATGACTGACAGAAAAAAAAAAAAGAGAGAGCTTTCATGCGATTGTTTCTTACATATTTATAAGATTATGATTTTGTTACTCTGTATGTCCCTCCCCCACAGTATAACCCGCTTTCACTTTTCAGAATGATGTTGGTATACGTGGAGGGGAAGGGAAAAAACAAATAGTTAAAACAGGGATACAGGAGGACCCATTGCAACGATGAGATGTGGGGGGCACGGGGGCGGGGGGGAGGATGCGAAGGGATGGGAAGGAGAAACAAAGGAGGAGGCTACAATGCTTGATAAGAAATGTACTCATAACCTTGCCCATGTAATTGTAACCCTTCTGTACAGTATTTTCACAATAAAAAAATACGTTTATAAAAAAAAAAACTAGCCTCAAAAAAAAGCAAATAAAAAAGATCTTTTATCTTCTGTTATATCTAGGTCAATACTTGCAAGAATCTAAAGTGAAAACTACTTCATATTTCTTCTTTTCAAGAAGCCAGTCGATATGATCATCTTGGTCTCGTTCTTTGGCCACTACGACGTCTCTTGGACTCACAATGTAGAAGAGTGATTCTCCTTCAGAGTAAACTAGAGGGAGAGAAGAGAAGTCACTTGGGTGACTTGACATGACGAATGTGGCAATGCTTTCACAGGACCTGGTAAACTTTCCTATTTCAGTGTAAGTGAAAATTATCTAACTTTGCCATCATGTATACTTGACTCTGCTGGAAGGAAAAGGAGGGAGATAGGGTAGAGAATGACAGAATATATTTCAGTGTCTTCAAATATATATAAGTGCAAAATTACCCAAAAAGGAAGGAAACAAGAGAGAAAGAATGGGGGAAAAAAGGGAGATTAAGAGGAAAATACTATATAAAACTTAAAAAAAAAAGATGGGTTTAAAATTCTGTTTAATACATTAACATTATGACTTCAGGTAAAAAAAAAGTGTCCAGAATTTCCCATGTCTATTGCATATTGGAATTCATCTACTACATATAAACTTTATTTATGGCCATCTATATTACTGTTCTATTTTTACAGAACAATTACCTCACTTAGTGATAAATGTGTCCTTCTCATCAAGGTCAAGGTCATCTAAAGCATAAATGACAGCTATCTGAGCCCAGGGGACATGGTCTGTCATTTCAGCATGCTACGTACAGTGCTAATATTGAGGGTTTCCCACCCACCGAATTCAATTACAAAACCTGTTCTGAAGGGCTTATAAGTGTGCAGCAGAGTTTGCTCTGAATAAAGTACCAAACTTGTTGTGAACCAGTCACTTTTGCCAAGTCCAGATTTGCTTTCACATGTTTTAACCAATTAGGGGCATCATATCAGAAATACCAAACACACAGAATATTTCTCACTACTTTGGCCAAAATAGCAACTCTAAATGTCCTGAAAACAAAAAAAGGACAATTATTTCTAAAGTAAGGAAGAATGTCTAAAAAGGTTACTCGACAATTTTCCTCAATATATTTTACAATATATTGAAACAGATTCCTTGGCGTGACTAAATAGCAACAATTCTCCTTTGTTTCTGAGCAGTCCGAAATGAAGCTATTTACTTCATAAATACTCATCTAAGGCCTGGTGATTTGGTAGGGTTCCTCTCAGTTTTAAGCAGTTGGTTAGTAATAGACAGACAACTCTATCATCCCAAAGCAGCAAACCTTCTGGGGAAATAAAGCTGGAGGCGATATGACAATCACAGAGTCATGAAGCTTGTCCTCAAGTTACATGCCACTTAAATAGTTTGGACAACAGAAAAGAACACCAAAGGAAATAGAGACTATTTCTCATCTCTGTCCTATTACGGCATTTTTTGGGGGGGGGGGGGAACTGTAGTATCTTTTTACTACAGTAGCCTTTGGCAAAAGCTGCTCAGGAAAGCTCTGCAAAATTTTTGGGCCTAGATATTGTGGTATGCAATTGAAGAGGCCTGTTTAGATATTCTCTAAGGTCTTTTCAGCACCTTCATTTCAATTCTGTCTTGCAAGGGCTGAGTACAAAGGAAAAGAGCATAAATCTAAGAAATCATAGGAGCCAGCTCTCTGATATGTCTCACCTAAATGGTAATCCCTGCATTCATTCTCCTGAAAGCCTCTGACAGTCAGAGCATCAGACGAGATCTCCTCACAGGTCTCAGAAAGTGGCTGAATGATGTCCAGTCTAGGCCTGGCACAGTACTCTCTTTCCTAGAGGGATAAAGACAGAAGACTCATCTTAGTTACATCATAATTTACATAGATTAACTCAAGTTATCACACCTGCTGGCATAGAGAAGACCTTCTATCAGTTGGTCCCCCAGCACTGTCTTATAGGATCCTGTCATTTGGGCACTCCACCCCTCATTCAGTGTCAGGAGAATGGCAGCCCAATAGCAATCCAGAGAATTTTTTATACAAATACATTTTGTTTGAAATAAAAATGTTTATATAGCTTTCACTTAGAAACAAACTGTCACCTGACTGTATTATGGAGCAAAAACAAAGCACAAACATCCTTGGTATTGACAATTATTTGGAGACAGGTAGGAAGACACTACTTAGTTTTAAAAAAAACTGACCTTCCCTTAAGGCCTGGTCATAGAAGTGTAAACAATGTAAATGAATCTACAATTACCAGTTGTCATATCTTATCTCTGTTACCTGAATATTCTGAGATCATAAACATACCTGTCAATATACCTGGGAAGGGTTGCTTATATCACAGTTACATGAGTTCTTGGCAGGCTGGATCAAGGAAGAGTAATTTGGAACAAGTTTTATACCTATTTAGAAGAAAACACTATATTCCCTTAAAATAACAGGTTACAGAAGGATACTGCCTTGAAGTTATGCTTTTTACTCTGATTCATTTTTAGTTTCTGTGATTTACACAGTTGTCTGTTTAATTTGCTTATATTACAATCCTGCCACAAAAATCTTAAAGCCCACAATACCTATTATTTCTTCAAGATCTGTATTGTTTAAATTTCATACTCTAGCATATCCACAATATGTCAGCAGTTCTTGTAGAAGAAACAAAAATATAAATGGGTAAAACTTCCCTAAAAATGTAGTTGTTTCTAACTACTTGGTACTTGAGAAGAAAACAATGCGAGAATGGGGGGGGGGGGGGAGCAAACATTCATGTGTTGGAAATGTGGTTCAAGTCTTCAGATTTAAAAACAAAATTCCCCAGGGAAGCTGAGTATCATGGAATTTTTAGAAAATTTCCTCTGCCCTGCCCTGAAATAGACCTGAAAAGTCCCCATTTAAACTTCTTGCGAACTGTATTTGTAAGATGTTATAGATGATGATCAAAGCAGTCAGAGGGAGAAGGATGAATGTGTCTTCCATTTAGCTAGTTTGTATTATAGCCTCTTTAGCTGTTGGTGAATCAGTAAAAACTACTGAAGGTACCAGAAGTGCTGTGAAGAATAGGGGTTAAAAACAACAAAAAAACCGACTGACCATATTTTCTGTTTAAATCAATAGCAGGAATTCATGGCTAGGAAAATTTTCTAAACAGTAAAATGACTTCAGGATAGATCTCTCCATTAAATGTAGCAGGGGAAAAAAAGATTTACACTAGAAGATACAGTGATAACGGAGAACCACAAGGTAGGTTCGACAGTATTCTATGAGGCTAGAAAATCAGTTAACTTTGAAAGCCCTAGAAAAATATCACTCGTTTATAAGTCACTTATTTATCATATTCCAACACTGAATGCTTTTCCTTCCACACACTGAAGAATCCTATAGTCAGCTTTTAAGCATTCTGCATTTCCTTGCCAATCTTGTAGCTGAGTATCTTGGTCCAGTCAATTCTGGTGCAGTTAACTGGGAGTTGCTGGTATAAGGCCTTGGATATGGTATGTGGCATTGTTTGATAGTTTTCATTAATTGCTGTGTGATACTCATTTTCTGTACTTTCTATAATTTTAACAAAGTCCTTGGCCGTTTGGACTTCATTAGAAATAGTTTCTGAATCTTGTACATCTTTATGACTAACCTACTAAACATTGCCATCTTCCTAATAGTGAACTCAAATCTTAAGCATTCATCCACTTGGGCTGTAGGTAGTGTGATTTGTGAACTTCCACTCTGATCTCCAACAACCATTCCAGAAGTTTTTAGGCTGAAACTGGTGGCTTTTCATACATGCAATTAAAGTCTGTTATACTGTTTTAACATAAACAGTACAGAAGCCATTGGAAATGATCTTTCAAATAGGCTCTTAAGTACTGTCACAGGATTCTTGACAAGATTTCAGACCTTCATCTTCTTCCTCTTTCCATAAGTGACAAACTTAAAGGAAATTTTGTTCCTTGTACCTAAAAGTCTATTACCCAGGTGCTCCATTATTAGGACCTGATCTTTATACCCTTCTCTCTTCACAGGTGTGAACTGATCCATATGATACCAGGCAAATGCATGTGCAGTCCCTTCACTGAGGAGATTGTCATTATTAAGTAATAGCTGAACATCATTGAATACTGAATTAAACTCTCCTGGAGGTGCATGGGTGATGAATTTAGCAGGTATGCATACATTCTCCTCATCTGACACCAGATCCTTGAAGTTGGGCCATCTTGGGCTGCACAGAGAATTTTTATGTACCTCTTTTACTCAAATGTGAGGGACAGTAAAATAATGTCAGTTTGCGTCATTATCCACATCACTGCTAGTACATTTCCCAGGAATAGTGACAAGCCAGCTTAAGAGTCACTCTGGCAGATGTCTGACGTCCCAACATGGCAGACAATGGTCACAGATGACTGTCAAGCGTAAGAAAAGTTGCTATTGTGACTGTGAAACTCCATTTTTAATATTATTTGATTTTAGTTAGTTGAACTTTAAGCAGTCATACACAGCTGGTATGGACAGGTTTGGACAGAAGCTGTAGATCAAGCCGGAAGGATGAGCCAACACCTGTTGAGGACCTGTGACAGTTCAACGAACTCAGCAGGTGACTATGTGCAAATTACTCTGGCTGAGTTCTTAAATGCTACTCTTCCTAATTTTAAAGGTAAAGCAATTAATGATCGAAAAGTCAACTAAAAATAAGGTTGAATCAGACTGTGGTAAGGCTGTGGAAACTGAGACTAATAGCAGACCTGGGATTTTCAGGTCAAGTCTATTCTATTTTCAAGTTCATGGTTTTTAATATTTGATATTACAGACCTAAGACTTACACTTGACTTCACTTATGCAAACTAATAACTCCTAAAGAACTTTGGTATTGGTGTGGAGACAAAGAGGAGAAGAAAAAAACTGGGGAAAAAAATCTAGAACTAGGGGGGGGGGGGCTGGGGGGAGGGAGGAAGGAGAAGGATTGGGATTAGGGGGGGAGGGGGGAGGCTGGGAAGGGATGTGAAGGATAAACAAAGGAGGAGGCTGCAATGCTTGGTAAGAAATGTACACATTATCTTGCCCATGTAACTGTAACTCCTCTGTACAGTATGTTCACAAATAAAATTAAATTAAATTAAAAAAAAAAAAAAATCTAGAACTATAGCTAGCTTTGTAAATTTCTAAAGAAAATAGCAAATGTAGGCTTCTTTAACCAATTTTGTTAGCTTCTGAAAAGCAATTACATAATCTTTGCATCTAATACATTGACCCAATTCTAAAAAAAAAAAACCCCAGCAACTATAAAAGATTAGAGAAAAATAGTAAATATATAGTAAAATTTATCATAACATAGAGAAAATGGGAAATTTCTCATCTTGTAAACAGAAAAAAATGGATAGGAAACTGCAAACATAAGACTATTTAAAGTGATCTGCTATAAAAATGAGTACAAAATCAAAATCAGAAAAAAAAAAGTTCAAACAAAATAAAATTGAAATCACCTCATAAGACCCTATTAAAAACTGCTTCAGGGCTGGGAAGGAGCTGAGTGGTAAAGTGTGTACAGAGCATATCAGAGGCCCTGGATTCAGCACAGGGAAAAAAAATTCTCCTTTGTATAGGTAAAGCAAGTTATCAATAATGTGACTTATTTCCTTTTCCAGCTCATGTTTCCAGAACTGAGTGAATATTTTCGTAATTGTGAACTTCTCATGAATAGGAATTTGGTTTTGATGCTCTGTAATCAGCAGCACCTGGTTCTTAACATATAGGTACTTTATCAATGAGGGAAAGCAAAAGAAAATGCTTAAAAAGGGAATGGCTTAGTAGTCAAGAGTGTTAGCTAGATAGAAGAATACACAGTTACTAAACACAAACCTAACAGTAACAACAGAAACCACACATATTGAAACAACAAAGGCATCAATCATCACATTTTGTACATAACACTGGGTGACATAAAATAAATTTTAGTTCATGTAGTTAAACATCTTTTCAATATGCGAAGAGAAAGGGGAAAGAAGATGGCCCGAAGCTGACCTCATTACTCTTGGTAATTAATTTTATTAGTTTTTTTTTCTTTGACTTAAGAATCAAAAGTACTCTTGGTATTGTATCAAATGATATACATATACCAATACACATTTTAAGTCATCTCCAATACCCTGGCTTCCTCCTCTAGAAAGATTCCATTTCCTAATTTGTCCTATGAGGCTGAACTTTCTTTGGTTTGTATTCCTTTCCAATACTCTCTTTTATTAACAAAGGATTCCTTCCTTCTTTCCCCCACCCTGACCCCTGTACCCATCAGTTGTTTATTAGGCTTCTCCTTTTTCAATGTACTGCTTTTTCCCTATTTCTTTTGATCACATTTTCAATCTTCCCGCATTCCTCATCAAAAAGCATTGTACTTACTCCCTCAGGAGCCACTGCTTTTCTTTATTTTCAAAAAATAAATAAAATAATAATAAACTGATGTCCTGCAATAGGGCTAGAAGCCAACCCTATTGATTTCAGGAGGTCTGAGTGTTCACTTAAGTCTGCAGCATTTCATTGCCTAGCAACATGGGTACCCAGAGCTTTAGTTACTATAGTGATGGCTTCCTAATGCAAGTGCTCTCTCAGAGAAATGCTCCAGTGCAGTTACCACTTCAAAACAAGGGCTCCCAGGGATTCTCTCCCCATTTCACTCGTTGCCATTTGGAGAGGGGGGAAAAAAAGGAAGATAAAACAAGGAGAGCACACTTGTCTACTTACTATAAAGGGTTAGAGAATCAATTGCAATTACTTTTATATACAGCATCCAAGAGGAAGCAAGCCCTTTATAATAAGCTCTCTGTGTCTGTGCCTTGAAGCTGCCCCTATACCCTTCCCAGTAGGACCCCTGGACTCTAGCAATGAAACGAGCTGGGAAGAGGTTGCCCCAGGCTTCAAAGGGATACTGGGTGTGGATGACCCTCCATACATCTGAATTGTAAACTTCTTTCCAATGTCACTACAGCAAAATTTAATCGTCTGATGCTTTCTACTAGCCACACATTTCACTGGGCTATCATCTGCGTTGATGGCTGAGAGTTAGCAACAACCCCTTTTGAAGCAATCATCAAGCCACTGGGAAGTAAACAGAAGTGCCTGGACCACAAGAAATAATGAACTGCCCTTTCCATGTTCCCTCTGACCACAGGGACCCCAGCTGTTGTAGCCGATCACTGCTGTCATTTCTGCTAATGCACAGTGTCAGATTAGTTTCTTTGCCTTTCAGCAAGAGGAATCCTTCATTCCTTTGGACTAAAAGACTGAGAGGCCAGTGGAAAAAAAAGTGGGGGTGGAGGGAGGAGGGCGGCTATCTTCCTTGTTCAGCTAGCGGAACACAGGCAGGCAATGAGTAGAGCTTCTGAAGGCAAGTATGTTAGGTTTATAGGGCAATCCATGCCAGTCCTATTTTATAGGTCAAAAAGTGTCATTCAGATTATAGCAGACTCCCCTGAAGCAGTGTAACACTGAGTCTAACACTAGAAAGTAAACCACAACTGCCTTAATATTTGGGGAGAAAATAATTACCGTTTTTTCTGCAAGTTCCTTGACATAGGAGAGTACAACAAGCTGGTCACAGAGAGGTGCAAGTCCACTAATGTAGAATTCTGTTTCAAACTGAGACACTGCAAGCAAAGGGAAAGGAGAGTCACAATTAAAAGGAGCAAAAACCACAAACAACCAGAAATCTACATCAACTGGGCATGCTAGATGGATCCATTTTAAAAGGTGATGGAGAGGTCAATCACTGATTTGATGATCACACCCTGTATACTGGCACTGAATTAACACGCTGCATCCCATCAGTGCTATGCTATGTCACAATTAAAAGACTGCTAACATCAAGGAGGTGTAGTCACATGCCTACTACATTTCACAGTAATCAGTATAGGAAACTCAGGTAAGATGATATGATCATCTAAACTCAACCTGGCACTCATGACGTAGCAACGATGAGGAACATCTCAGGCAGATGACAGCACACTGATTAAATAAAAGAGATGGTTATGGATCTGCTAGGTCCAGGGTCCAAGACAGAAAGTTACACTTTATGTCATAAATATAAAACTACATGAGTGCATCAACTAAACATAGATCAAATACTGAAACACAGCAAGCAAGGGGCTATTATTTTTTAAATAGATGAAAAGAATCACAATCTAAGTTTGATCCCTTTTTCCTAGGAACAGATTGGTGAGCTATCCAAGGCAAGCCCATTCTAGGGATTCTCTAACAATTTGGAGGAGAAATAATAAAAGGCCACCAACCTCAGAATAAGCCAAGCAAAAATATAAAAGCTACTGCTCTCTATCAGTCACTTCTCTGAACCAAAATTAAAATGGTCACAGCATTTCCCTCTTGTATGGCTGTTCAAAGATCAGGTCAACAGGCACTGCACAGGTTAAGGCCTCTGGGTTCTAGAGAATTTCTCCAGCAGTCTGGATCTGAATGCCTGGAACAAGGCTCTGTCCTTGTCCAGGTTCCCCTGGCTATGAAGCAGGGCCAGGGAGAGCGAGAATCAGGGAATGCTGGGAAAGAACTGTATGGCCCCAATTATGAGCAGCAGCTTTGAAAAACAGGTGTCCTTGAGCCCAAGAACTGCCTTCCTTGCTTAGCATTTGCGAAGGTTATCTCCTCCCCCCCCCCCCCCCCCCCCCGGACATCAGCTGCTGCACCTGTAGGATGGGAGAGGAGCCCACACGGGTACTGTGAAGATCTAATGATACTCTGTTTGTAAGATATTTAGCATTGTGCTCAGGGGTGCAAGGAGCAAAATGCACTTGTTACTTCTGATCCAGATTGATCTCTCCTCTTCCATCTTCCCTCCCTTCATCCCTTTCCTTCCTCCTTCCCTCCCTTCCTTTGCCAGTCCTAAGGCTCAAACTCTGGGCTTGGGCACTGTCCCTGGGCTCCTTTTTGCTCAAGGCCAGGGCTCTACCACTTGAGTCACAGTGCCACTTGCAGCTTTTTTTTTTCTCCCGTGACTAACTGGAGATAAGAGTTGCACAAACTTTCCTGCCCAGGCTATCTTAGAACCACCATCCTCAGATCTCAGCCTCCTGAGGAGATGATTATAGGCATAAGCCACTGGTGACTAGCAAGTTCCAGTAAACCTACTTTCTATGAAGAAAATTTATAAATCTCATTTCCAACACAAACCATCTAAGGTTCTAGCACCATGTGGCCAAGTTTTATATCCTGCCCAATAGGAGGAAGAATGAAGACTGAACATATATGGAAAAATTATTTGCTATAAAATGCTTTACTTTTCTATGTCTAAAATATTTTCATAACTGAAATACTAACCAAGTAATAGATTTTAGAGAGCAAGCTGAACTGTAGCAGCAGAGAAGCTACAGATAGTTAGAACCTGAAATAAAATCACCTTGACTGAGGCCAACACCAGATATAGTCCCTTCTGATGGGAGCTTAAGATGGAAATACATGACACTCATGTATTCAACACACAGTCATTGAATGGGGATGAAGGGAGATACTTAGATCTAAGAGAATTTCTCCCAGCTCTCCTGCACACAGGTTCTATTACCTGATCACTGTATTCCCAGTGTCAGTCAAGAGGCTGAAAACAGTATGACTTGATGAATTCTAGATTCTTTGGCTTCTGTGTCCTTCTATATAGATTCCTATGTAGTTATCTCAATTAAAAGACTTAAATTCAAAATGCACTGTATTCTTAAATTGCTTTGTTAAATGGCAATGCCTCAACTACTAACAGATAATAAACACATTTTAAAAGGTAAAAATCTCCCATATGAAGTGAAAACAAAGAAGTCAATGATTAATTCCTTGCATGTAAGTCATCCATGCTGGGAATTGGGAATGTGACTTAGTGGTAGAATGCCTAGCATGCATGAAGCCCTGGATTCCATTCTTTGGTATCACATAAAACAGAAAAAGCTGGAAGTAGCGCTGTGGCTCCAGTGGCAGAGTACTATCCTTGAGCAAAAGAAGCTTAGGAACAGTGCCCAGGCCCTGAGTTCAAGCCCCAGGTCTGGAAAAAAGAAAAAACAAAAGTCACCTGTGCTGGTGACAGACAACTAGAAAATGACACAAATACTGGCTTCATTACCAACAATGTGACTCCAACTGTAATTCCATAGAGACCCTGAAAGACTGCGATGGAAAGTTCCATGTTAGGAAGTCTTGAGCAAATTACAAGCTATCCAAGTAAGGTTAAAAGAGATATAGAGGTATGGACCTTGAGACCTACTATCACACTAGCAATGTGATCCAGGAGAGAAGAGGTGTTATCTAAAACCCAATGTATCCAGACTTTAAATCCCTATGTACAGAGAATCACTTCAGGGTAGGTGACCAGCCAGGAGGCTTATTCTTTATTATCATCATTACTTTTCATTCACCAGTATCAGTATCCAAATGAGAGGAATAGCTTTAGTCTTACTCTTGTGATTTGTAAGGAAGAATGAAAACGTCTCTAAGAAATGTACAGCTACACATATTTCTTCAATCTCAATGCTACTTTCAGTTCATTTATTAAAGGACAGTGGCTTACAATGTATAATCCAGACCTCTTACTACTATTCCTTTCCTCCATCCTACTCAAGAACTCTTACCAAAACCTCTGCTGTGAAAATGGTTTACACTGTTAAAAAGATTCCAATTCGGGGCTGGGAAGGTGGCTCAGTGGTAGAGCGCTTGCCTTGCATGCATGAGGCCCTGGGTTCGATTCCCCAGCACCACATAAGCAAAAGAAAAAAAGCCGGAAGTGGCGCTGTGGCTCAAGTGGTAGAGTGCTAGCCTTGAGCTGAAGAGCTGAGGGACAGCGCTCAGGCCCAGAGTTCAGGCCCCATGACCGGACACGCCCCCCCCCCCCCCCCCCAAAGATCCTGATTGAAGGGGGTAGGAGAGGAATGGTACTTAACCACTGACCACACTAGTAAAGTGTCAGTAATGTGATACTATTAGTACCCACACATAGTCTCTTTCACATAATAAGTACAGATGGACTCCACTTAGATAACATAATGTAAGGCTCAGGAAGGGCCAAGAGTTTCCGTAGGGGCTATAATGAGCAGTCATGATATTGAGATGAATGTCTGCAAGCGGTAATACCTACCAGACTGAGTAAGCACCTCACGGTGCTAAGCACTAAGTGAGGCACATAACTTTGTCATGTCTAATTCTCATCTCCACCTAACACATGGGAAAATATCAGGAAGGTTAAGTGACCTTATCAAGATACCACAAATCCAGCAAATAACTTTGCTTCCCTGGAAGCATTCTGGTTGTTCTGCAAAGGTGGAGTCATCTGCTTTAACAGTGTGGTAGTAATATCATGGTCACCTCCCTCTAGAGAGGAAGAAGATTAGAGCCTGCATGTGAAAGGCATACTGTGAGCCTGAAGCAGAGAAGGCACACAGCACACAGTGCACGGCACACACCAAAAATGTGTGCAGCTAAGTACCAGCTAGAGAGGAGACAATGCAACATTCTTATACTTCACTGGTAATTTTATATTTTTAAAAGTCTAGGTTTTTTTTTTTTTAAACCGATCTATATTGTAAGCATTACTCTTTGGGATCCTAGGTATTGAGATGTGAAGAGTTCTTTTTTCCCCCCTTGGAAGGCAAGAGAATGACAGGAAAGAAGAGAGATACTGAAACAATGACCTTTGTCTTCTTTATCATCTGATCCCTTGGCCTGTTTTGTCTATACTGATAAATCTGAAATACACAGACACAGACACACAGACACACAGACATCCCTCTCTAAAGGAAAACATACACACATCATTGAAACGTTTACTAGTTCCTAAAAGCCAACATATGTTGGTAGTATGAGCTTACAAGACCTTTTAAAAACTGACGGTTTCCTTCACTTAATACGATTGTTCCAGGTCTTTCCATTTCCTTACAAGTGGGGTGATGCCATTCTTTCTGTTGGAAGCATAGAATTCCATTGTGTATATACTACATTTTCTTTATCCATTCACCTACTGAGGGGCATCTGGGTTGGTTCCATATTTTAGCTATGGTAAATAATTCTGTAATGAATATGGTTGTGCTGGTAGCTTTAGTATGGCCTTGTTTGTGGTCATTTGGGAAATGCCCAAGAGTGTGATTGCTGGGTCATAGGGAAGCTCTATGTTTAGTCTTTTGAGGAACCTCTATACTGCTTTCCAAAGTGGTTGAACAAGTTTACACTCCCACCAACAGCGTAGTAGGTTCCCTTTTGGCCACACCCCCTCCAGCATCTGTTGTTATTAGATTTCTTGATAATGGCCATTCTAACTGGGGTGAGGTAGAATCTCAATGTTGTTTTGATTTGCATTTCTTTTATGGCCAGAGAGGTTGAGTATTTCTTTATGTGTCTATTCGCCTTTTTTTTTTTATTGTGAAAATACTGTACAGAGGGCTATTAGCCATTCTTATTTCCTCTTCAGAGAAGCCTCACTTTAAGCCCACTTGTTAATGGGGTGGTTTGTGTTTTTTAGGATTTGGTTTTGGGGATTTAATTTTGAGTTCTAAGTATATTTTAGATATGAGGCCCTTGTCTGTTATATGGCTAGTGAGGATCTTCTCCCAATCTGTGGCCTTTCTATTTATCTTGCTAGCTATGTCCTTTGCCATGCAGAAGCCAGAAAATAATCATATAAAGTGAAAAGTAAGCCAGACGCAAAGAAACATGCTTGCCCTCATTTGTAATAATTAGTACATGTCTAGGATAGTCCTAACAGAGACTCACAATAGCTCAATAACTATGTACATATGACCATTTAAGATGACGCTAAGCGAAATGAACTCCAAGATATGGAAAGGAGGTTTTTCTTTGTTGTTGTTTTTAATGTACTATGTGAAGTTATTTCTTTTTTCTTTTTTTTTTTTAAATCTCTTTTTCCTTTGGTTTATCCCCTGTTGTCACTATATTTGATTTTGGTACCCTGTGTCTTGTATATATGTTTATTTGAGAAAGGGAAGGGGAACAACAAAATGGTGACACAAAGGACCAAGGGTAAACCAATGCAACAGTGATACTCACAAGACAAGATGCTGGAAATGAACTGGGAGTTGGGAGGAGGGAAAGTGGGAGAAAAACAAGGGAGGGAGTAACAATGTTTGACAAGAAATGTACTCATTACCTTATGTATGCAACTGTAACCCCTCTGTACATCACCTTGACAATAAAATTAAATTATAAAGAAAAAAGAAAAAAAATGAGAACTGATTTCAACTACTTTATGAGGATGAGCTACCTAAAAGTTGAATTAAAAAGGGCTTCTTTAAATATTTAAGATTTTCACTAGAGAATTTCAGAAGGAACCTGTATACCATTTGCCGAAAATATTATAAAGGAATGTATGAGAGATTTCAATAAAGTGACTATTATTCATGGAAAAACCCTGATAGTTTCACTTAATGGTACTGTATTTGCAATATAAAATGTTTTTTAAATATGATTTGGTAGAGGAAGTTAATGTGATCAAAATACAGAATAATATGTATACATGGAACTATCACAATGAACCTCCTTTGTACAATACACACCTACAAAAATTATTATTATTATTATTTTTGGGGGAGGGGAGTCCGATTGTGGGGCCTGAACTCTGGGACTGGGCGCTGTCCCTCAGCTCTTCAGCTCAAGGCTAGTGCTCTACCACTTGAGCCACAGTGCCACTTCTGGCTTTTTTTTCTTTTGCTTATGTGTTGTTGGGGAATCGAACCCAGAGCCTCATGCATGCAAGGCAAGCGCTCTACCACTGAGCCACCTTCCCAGCCCCTACAAAAATTATTAAAAAAGAAACTTTAACATTAATTTTGACTCTTCAAGATAAAACAGCACAGATTTAAATACTGTAATTATACTGGTCATGAGGCTAGTGTAGAGCTTTGCCTTGTTACAATGATGCATCAAATTTATATTTACCATCCATATCCCAAATGTGTAAATCCATTTTATAGTCAGCTTACAGTATGCCAAAACTTTTTTATTTTCCACAAGAGTAATGATACATTATCTTTGGTAAACTTCTCCTAATAGTTGTTTCCCAAAGTTACTGAGTCATTCAATAAAGTACCTACTACATGACAAACATTATGTTAGACCCTGGTGATATGAATAGTAAGCGTAAACAGATCCACTCTGTGCTTGCAATGAAGTGACAATCTGGTGGAAAACTCAGAAATGTACAAATGACCACTGGATTGCTGTATGGCCATGGGGAGATGCAGTGCTATCTGTGCCTAAATGAAGGGCTTGGCCCAGGCAGGAAGATCCAATGGGATTCCGCAGGAAAATAATACTTAAGAGTTAGTGAGGTAAAAAGGAGGAGAATGTTCTAGGCAGAAGGGAAGGAGGAATCTGGGTGGGTGGAGAAGAGTAAATGTGGCCGCAGTGTACAGCCCAAGGAGAAGCCTGGTGGTAGTAATAGACAAAGGAAGCCACCTCAGAGCCCAGTGGTCCAACAAACGACATTGTCCCCTTCATCTCAGACCAATGGGATAGGCTGAAGGATGAGGCCACGATCTGATTTGTGTTTGGCTGTAGTGGGGAGTCATTCATGGTGTGTATGTGTGTGTGTGGGCGGGGGGGGGGGGGGGGGGGCGGGGGCAGGAGATGACTAATCGGAGGTGGCTGCAGTGGCCCAGGACAACACTGATGAAGATGAGTATTTCAAATGCTTAGTTGATGGTACTTTGTCAAAGAAATACATTAATTCTCACCTCTCATGATGACTCTATGACACAGTCACTCTTTCTCACGTTGTATAAAGGAAAATGTTAGTGCATAAAGAAATCTCCTCAGGGCTGAGAAGGTGGCTCAGTGGTACAGCACTTGCCTTGCATGCCCAAGGCCCTGGGTTCGATTCCTCAGCACTACATAAGCAAAAAGAGAAAAGCCAGAAGTGGCGCTGTGGCTCAAGTGGTAGAGCACTAGCCTTGAGCTGAAGAGCTGAGGGACAGCGCCTAGGCCCAGAGTTCAGGCCCCATGACCGGACCCAAAAAAGAAAAGAAAAGAAAAGAAATCTGTCTATCTAAAGTCCAGATGATTAATAACAAAACCAGAACCTAAACTCATAGTCACTTGACTTCAAAGACAACTACAAAATTCAAGTCTGAAAATAAGAAGTACAATTGTTTTTGGTTTTGTTTTAAATGAGATGGTTCTCAGAATGAAGTTTCAAAACCTGAAAGTTTCTAGATCTACTTTATCAAAGTACCAAAAGATGAGTTGTGATGAAGAGCAACATGGCTTAGATTTCTACTTGACAAAATAGATGATCATCGCAAGTTTGCACTCAAGAGAAGATATGTAAGGAAGCCATACCTATTTCAACATAGCGACTCGGCAAATCCCTCATTTCACTGGCATGTCGTTCCTTCACTGAGCAGATCTGGAAGACAAATGCACAGATTATTCTATGCATCTCATGGGAGATTCTTCAATGTAAATGTGGCTAAATTAGCCACACAGACATGGAGAAATACAATCTATCCTAGAAATCAAATGATAGAAATTTATTTCAATGTGGCAACCAGTAGCCATATTCCTTAGCAGTTATTTTCAAGGACAAAGAAGAAAAGAGAACTTTAAGAAAGCTTTGATATGTTTCTATTGACCATTCTCTGAAGCTCTATTTAAGGCCTACAGTCCTGTGCAGGGCATATACACTACTGTGTCCCTCCACATTCTACTATCTAGTGATAATATTATGGCTATCGAACTTTGTCCAAATATACCCTGTTTCATTCACACAATGACAAAACCACCCATGATGTTTTCTCAGAATTCACCCCTGTTAGTAAGTGATCTATGACTGTATTTCTATTGCCATTTAAACAAATTTTCAGCATAAGTACATGACTTGAAATAGCAAATCACCATGGTGGATCACCATGTCCACATTAGATCAAAAGTGGCACACATCCTTCTAGCTCATATATACTATCACCAATACATTACATAATTTAACCACCAGCCCATAATCTGTTTTTGTGATGGCCCATAAGAATAATTTTCACATATTTTTTAAGGGAAGAAAGCAACAGAATAGTGGGTGGCCTGCAGACTGATATTTTTACTACCAGGTAAAAGGTACAGGCAAAGTTTACTGACTTGTTTTAAATTACATTGTGGAGGCTGGGGTAGAAATATACACATATGGTATACAAATAAAGCATCCCAATCTATAGCTCAATATGTCTACTTTCCCTCTCTCCCTCCCCCTCTCACATACATAAACACAAACAACACATGTATGTTAACAATGTTTGCTTAGGTTGGTAACACTATTTTATATCTTCTGTGGTGTACTTTCTAAAGAGAGCCTACTCAATTTTATAAAGAGAAACAAGAAAAATTTAAGTTCAGCAAGACTGAAATCTCAATTATCAACCCTCAAAAGCTGTGTCAGTGATCCAATTTTATTTTTCTTTTAGATAGTAGTATTTTATAGCTGTTTCCCTAAGTACAGCTACACTACAGAAAATTCTAAGAGAAAAACTCCAAAGGAAAACAGGCATTATTCAGTGTCATAGCACAGACAATACCACTTACCAGCCTTCTATTCTGCGTAGTTACTGGCATTAACATAACGTAACAATTTACTACAAATTACTTAAATACTAAGTAGTTACTGTTATCACTTACTTAAATACTAATTGACCTCTTTTTTGAGCTTAGGTTTTTATTTCAATCTTTCTTTCATTGTAAGTTTAAGCACAATCAATAAACTTGAATACAAAACTTCCAGGACTTCTGCTTAGATAAAGCCACAGTGAGCAAAAACACTTAAGGTTTCCTGATTAGTTTGGTTAAGTGGCACTATGGCTCAAGTGGTAGAGCACTAGCCTTGAGCTGAAGAGCTGAGGGACAGCGCCCAGGCCCAGAGTTCAAGCCCCACGGACCAACAAAACAAAAAACAAAAACAAGCCTGATTAGTTTGGTTAAATACCATCTAGCATTATTAGTTTGGTTAAATACCATCTAGCACCACTGCTGCAACTTTTGGAATGCATGAGAGAGAGAGAGAAAATTCACTTTGTCTGATGGAAGGCAGAAACCCATGAGTATAAAAGTATAAGGCTCCATTTTTTTTTTCGGTAGTACTGCGTTTTGAACCAGGTCCTGGCACTTGTCAGTTTAGTGCTCTACCACTTAAGCCTTGCCACCAGACTCCTCATACTATTTTTATTTCATCTACTTTTCAGTTTATTTTGTTGAACTTAAGTAATATATTTACAAAAGGAAGCAAACAACTTCTAGTGTAACATATCTATAGTAACTGAGGCACTGGTGGGCATGAAGGAAATGTGAATGAGCTCTGAGGCCTCTTTTGTACAAGAGATGAATTTCATACACTATGGCACACAAGGGTCAGATAATTGTATGCTAGAAACTATTCCCAAATCTTATTACTGATAATAAGGCTAGGCTTCTCCTCCATCAAGTTATTACCAAGCAAGCAGGATGATTTAGTTTTAACCTTTTCTCCCTACCATCAATAACTCAAGATGAAGAAGCCAAGGGTCAAAGCTAAGGGAAATAAAATAACAGAGAGGGAAACCTGATTAACCAACAGAACTAATTCACATGTTTTACAAATAGCTAAGGCACCGCAACTGGGCTGTAGAAAATTAAAAACAACAGCATCAACAGAAGATTTAAAGAGACAGTATCATATTTAGCATAGGAAAGTTCAGATTTACACAGCTTCAGAAAGAAATATGTCTTAAAACATATACAACTGAAAGAATTTGGGCACTCAACGATTAGCACATTATCATAATATTCAGATTAAAATGGGCTCTGGGAAGCCAATCAGGAGCTAACATGCCTTTAGACCACTCTCAACAGACCTACAACAACAAAGACTTATTGCAAGGACTAGCAAGCAACACCACCTTGACGGAGGTTCCCCAGCCAATAATCAGTGTCACACTGTCCTTCCAGCAGAGACTGCAAGGATACATATCTGGGCGCAAACTTATATCATCCCGTGGCACATTGGTGATTCTCTGCTTAGAGATGATGTCAAAAATCTTCACACCCTAGAAAGCAAAAAAGTGTAAGACATCCTTTATTCAGAGGTAAAGTAGAGACAAACTGACAACCAGACCTGGCTACCTGCCACCAAGAGCCAGCACTACAAAATATTGACAGTTTACAGGAGACAGCTAGAAGCCATGCAAAGAATGCTTCAGCTCCACATATACCTTATGAGAACCAAAATTACAAGGAAACCTTAACAGTTCTTACTGGACAAATGGTGTCTTTTTTTAGTGCATGGCACGGCTGACTTAAATCCAATACAAATGTGAAATGCACAGATTAAAAAAATTATTTCCAAAATGATAGATGAATGTCATTTCTAATTGTGTTGTTCTACCACAGATATGAGCTTTGTTTTAAAGGAAAAATTTTGATTTTGAAAATCCACCTATATAAAAAAACTACATTTGACATATTAAAGTTCTGAAATAGAAGCATCAAGCAAGCAGCTAACCAAAAATCTAAAAATGAACCACAAGACCACAGGTTTACTTACTTTTTTGGGGTGACTAGAAGAAAAGTTCTTAATTGCAAGATGAATTCTGGGGAGTTTTTTTTTTTTCCTATTTGAAACTAAATAGGATTGATCTGCAAAAGTATACCTTGAAATCTGAAGATACGTCAGATAAGAGTAAGACTTATTTTTAAATTTTCTATGGCTCCCAACTCATATCTAATAAAACTTAAAATAAGTGTAGCATGGAAAATTATGATCCACTTTCTTAAAGGCAGACCTGTTTTTGCCTAATTATAATAGGAGTAAAGAAAAGCCAGAAATACTCTGTACTTGTTCCTTAGTGAGTCAGTAGGGAGTGGTGTTGGAAGAGTCTGTTTCTCAGGCAACCCTTTAATTACTAAGCTTTGCATGTTCTTGTTTATTCCCCTTGCTCCAGGTGTCTAACTCTAACACATAGTCAAGAACATGTTAGAAGTTGGGCATCAATGGCTCATGCTTGTAACCACAGCTACTGAGGAGTCTGAGATCTGACAATTACAGTTCAATGTCAGCCCAAGCAGTAAATTCCATGATACTCTTATCTCCAATGTAACCAAAGCTACTCAGAAGTCTGAGATCTGACGATTACAGTTCAAAGTCAGCCCAAGCAGTAAAGTTCATGATACTCTTATCTCCAATTAACCACCAAGAAGCCTGAAGTGAAGCTATGGCTCAACCTTGAGCAAAAAAGCTTAGGGACAGTGCTCAGGCCCTGAGTTCAAGCCTAAAGATAGACCTTAAAGCAAAAAAAAAAAAAAAGAATAGGTTAGGAATTTCTATACTAGGAAAGCCAAAAGCAATATGGCTTCTTTAACCTTCCAGGTATATTATTATCAACAGCCATCTGCGTCTTCAGAAATGACCACCATAGCACATGGCATCTTCTTCTTTGTGCAGAGCTATCAATCTGGCCACACTTCTGCCCGTTAAGAGCACAGAGATGGACTTTTACCATATTATTGGCCCAAGCAATCAGATGGCCTCTCCACTTCACACTCCGGATGTTCCCTTCCCCTTCATGCAGAACTGATGACTTCCATCTGTTCATCCAAGATCGTTCAAACAGCAGCAACTAGGAACCAACAGCATAAATACTGATTTAGAACCACACATTTATCAACATGTGCTTATGTAGTTCATATGCATTTTGGAAAAAATTCTCAACTTATCTTAAACTGTCCAGGTCTTAGTTAAAAAAATGGATTTGTGTTGACATTACTACAAAGCCAAGCCACAAGATGGCACCAAAATACCAAGATTCACAGAAAAAAAAGAACATTGATAAAAGATTAAGACTGCAGAAAAGTTCTTCAGATGATTGCCTAGAAATTAATTTATTGTGTAAATTGGTAAATCAGAACCTCAAAAGTTTTCACTGAAAACTCTCTATTAGTCACAGATTAAATTGTAATAATTAGAAGCAATCTGTTTTCCATTTTAACCCAAAACAAACAATTTGACAATGATTCTTGATCAGTAATTTGCATCACAAAATAAAAGATACTTGCTTTGGGATCAAACATCTTTGAAAAGTTCATATAAAGCAGGGCACAGGTGGCTCATGCCTGTATTCCTAGCTATTTAGGAAGCTGAGATCTGAGGATCAAAGTTTAAAGCCAGCCCAGGCAGGAAAGTCCATGAGACTCCTCTACAATTAACCACCAGCAAAATGGAAGTGGTGCTGTGGCTCAAAGTGGTAGAGTGCTAGCCTTGAGCAAAAAAGCTCAAGGACAGTGCTCAGACCCTGAGTTCAAATCCCAGGACCAGCATTTAAAAAAAATATATATCATCATAGCTAGGGTTTGTTTTGTTCCCCACCCCCTGAGGGGGTGAGATTTATGATACTGAGTATGTGAACTCAGGATCCTGGCCGTTATTAGGTTGGCATGACACCACTGAGCCATGCCTGCTTTACCCTGATTATTTCTAGGTGATCATAGGAATGCACTACTATGTGCAGTTACTTACGATGGAGTTGGGAGTCTCTCTTGGAATTTTCTGCCTGGGATGACTCAGCATTACAATCCTCCCAATCTGTGCCTTCCATATAGACTGGGATGACAGGAGCATGCCACTGTGCCCACATATTGGCTGGAAAAGTATCCTGAACTGGTTTGACCAGGCTAGACTTGAAATGTGCTCCTCCTATTCTAAGCCTCCCAAGCTGCTAGGAATATAGGTATGAGCCACTAGCACCAGGCTTATAGTCTTTATTTTAAAGGAAGAATCTGTTAAAAACCCATGGCAAAATTTAAATGCAAATATAACTGGCCAAAACTTTAATACTGATGAAGATACACAATAAAATGTTTTTTCTTGGTACATCCCTTTTAAATTCTTTATGAAAATACATGTACACAACATATAACTTATGGCACATAACCCTAAAATACATGTTTATCCCTTACAAGCAAATGCTAATAACAGATCCCATAAGGAAAATTTTCAGCTCCTATCTATAGAAACAAATTTGGTTCATCTTCACATATTCGACATCTCTCAGCTCCAGAAAAGTAGAGGAGAAAATGTGACACAGGATGAGTAAATTCACATTTTATTTGTAGTTCCTATATATCTTTCTCAAAGTTTATGCTTCTATAGTCAGAAGGGACACAAAAGAAAAATAAACCTTAAAACTAAATAGTATGTACTTTCACAACTAAATATGTCTAGTCACCTTAATATGCCATAAGTATTTGACGCTTTCCATTGTCCCCATGTAAGGTATCTTTAACCCCAAAGCTGCAAGAGTCCTTCCCTGGAGTCAGGGATTTTTATAACCATCTTTAGCCCAGTCTTCCTGTTAGAACTTAGATACCTCCTATATCTATCCAACGCCTGCTATTCATCTCACCCCTCTGGCTCAGATGTCATCCCCCTACACCTGCCATTCAGCCAGAAAGCGTTGGTGGTGTCCTTCTTGATTTAGCCTCTTCTGCCATCACACAGAACAAAGAGCTAGGAAGCCAGTGTGGCCAGCCAAATACAGAGGGATGATGAATGTGTTCAGTATATTGTCATAAAGCAGACTAGAAAGGAACTGAGGTTTGAGGACAGTTGCTGCTATAGAAAATAAGTAACACTTCACTAAAACCAGGCTGCTAATGCACACTCTTTCAAACAGAAGGAAATGATAAGATGAAAACATCTACCTTCCACCTGTGGGCTGAGTCTGGCAGAAGTGCTTGTTAGAAATGGACAGGGCCTGATAAATCCCAAGGAACTGGTTGCTGGTGGAACTTGGCATTAAACTCCTCTACCTTACCTATTTTGCCTAGGAATAACCAAGCAGTATTCAAGGAGGAGAAATAATGAACAAATGCACTGAGAAAATTAAACATACTCTAATTTTCAAGTTAAAAATCCTGCAATACAGCTAAAACTAAGGCCCCAGAAACAATTAGCCTGGGAAGCAGCTGGCCAATCAGATGCTAAAATGCAAAATCCCTGCCACACTCAAAATCAGGGCTGTTTCTGTGAAGAAGTCACAGGAAACAAGAAGGCTTAGGCGAATCCTGGGATGGGGGATGGAAGGAGTCTGACAGCACTCCAACTGCCAGGTGGAGAGGCCAGCTGGGAAGGAAAGCAAGCAGACTGGAAACAGAAGAGCATCTGCGGAAAGCTTCTGTATTTGGGGGAAGAAAAGAAAAGAAACCACTCAGGAAATAAAATCTCCCACTCTGGGATTAAGAAAAATCTAATTCTTATCATCATTATTCATAAATAACAAAGGACAAAATGAAGATTAATACTTTGACCCCTTGTAAGAGAGGAAATCAGAGTACAAGTCTAAGATTCTAGAACGAGAGCACCATACTATAAACATAAATGCATGAGGTATCAGCACAGATGAAAACAAGAAAAAGAACATAGATCTCAAAGTCTTCGATGAAGAAAAACCAGATTCATGTGTGCTGGCCACAGGCACAAACCTAAAGACATATCAGTGAGATCTGTAAAAAGAGAATTAAATAAATGGAAAGTCAGACTATGTTCCTGGATAGTAAGACCCAAAAGTCATTGGAGAGTTTACATTACACTAAATTACCCTGGGATTTTAATTCAGGGACTAAGACAATCTAGAACTGCTAAAATTTCATCTGAACAAAATATTAAAATATGAGGAATCTTTTTTTTTAATTAAGCCATTTTGTGGGAGGGGTAGATTTACATGACATTTTATAAAATAGCTAAATAGTACAGTGAAGAATTGACAGATAAAAGAGAAAGAAAAGAAACAACAGATAGAAATGAGTTAAAACAATGCCATCAGGCCTTCAGCCTGGAGGTGGAGGTAGGGACAGGTAGGAAACAGTGGCCCTCAATCCACTGGGTACCATCTTCCTAGAGGATCATTTAACATTATGGTCCCAAAATCTTAAGAATAACCTAATGAGGGGCATGGTGGCACATGCTTGGGAGGATAAAATAGGGTGGATGGTACTTCAAGGCCAACCAGGCAAAAATAGTTTGCATGACCCCATCTCAACCAGTAAAAAGCTAGGCATATTAGCCCACCTATGCAGGAAGCATAAATCAGATCATTGTTCAACCCAAGACCTTAGGGCCAGGAGGGGATGGTTTAAGTGGTAGAATGCCTGCTAGTAAGGGCTAGGCCCTGACTTCAAACCCCAGCACTGTCAAAAAGAAAAAAGAAAAAGAAATGTCCTTATGCCTACAAATTAAAGCTAAGGAACAATCAGAGCAGTGAGTAAGAGCTACAATGAACTGGGATGACTGACACAACACAGCAGAGCTGGACATGTGAAGAGTATGCACCACTTTTATATATGTATACTCATCAGCATAAAGACATTTGGGACGTATTAAAGAACAGATTACAAACCAGTATTTCTCATGATGCCACTTAAATTACACATGGATATATATCCATATATAAATATAATAAAATATGAAAAACACATTACAAAGTGACCATAATTCTAGAAGGGGGTGATAGGGGACTTTATAACAACTATCCATATTTCTAAGCATCCTATACTGAACATGTGTGCTCTTTTTATAATGTGACTACATGAATGGGGATGATAATCCATTCCTTCTCTTATTAACAACTAGGTTGATTGAGGTAAATAGTTTAAATGAAACAATAAAACAACAAAAAGTTCACTGGAACTTAAGAAAATGTCTGAGGCATATGTGGTATGCATTAACATTAATTTGCATAAACATACTGTTTAAAATAAAACATTAGTTTCTTTAGAAAATCTTCAATAAAACCTGGTTGTAATGCAAACAAAATCCAGACTCACTCCACGGAGCCCTTGTGTTGCAGACTGCAGGCTTCTGGTTATGGGAAGAAGCCGAGGCGGCCAGGCTCTGCTTTGAGTGTCTCCTGCCCTCATTCACAGGAGGACTTCCAGAACAGGGCAGGAGGAAAAGGAAGGGGATGAGTTCTGAACCCAGTCAGTCTGAAAGTTGGTTTCAAAACATCTTGGAGACCCTGCTCTGACACAGAGTCGAAGAACCTGACACTTCTCCTTCAATGACACAACCTCATAGTGTGAGTGGAATCATGACTTACAGGGAACAGTTACTTTTGCCTTTCTTCCCCAGTCCACTTCCAACCCTCTATCCACGAGTCCGTCTGCCCACTCTCACACAAACCCCTTGAATGGCAGCTTATTTTTGTTGTCCTCACATAGGATGCTTCATGATAGTTACTCCAGGGGACACAGAGCCTCCCAGAACAGAAACAAGGACCCAACAATCTGTTTTCCATTTGCTTCTGTACCCTAATCTATGGGAAAGTGGGGCAGAAACACATTCTCTGGCAGGAATGCCAAGGAACATCATGTTTTGGTGATTTTAAGGAAAGATAAACATTCTGCACTAATTTAACTACCACAAAGCTATCTGCCTCTATTTCACTGCCATTTAATAAAATCCATTTCTTTCTTCTAGAAATAAAACTGCCTAGAGACCTACTGAGCACAAATTTCCTACAAAGCATTTTAGGGGTAAGCCATTGAACGAACCACCCTTAAAAGCAGCTGGTTAATTTATTTGGTTCATCTTCCACATCCTGTAATATTGAATTGTCATTATCAC